CTTTGCAGGCATCCAGGCCAATCAGCAGAAAGTCCGAAGGGGCCAATAGCTTCGAGAAACCACCCAGGAAGTCTGCAGCCCCATCGCGGTCGAAATTGCCTATCGACGATCCCATCGAGAGGACAACCGTTGGTCGGTTCCGGTTCTCGGGGCTCTGAAGCCAGCCTACCCCATCGTCATACGTTCCATGCAGCCCATGGAACCCCACGTATGAGAAGCTTTCCGGTGAGATCTCCGCAAAAGTGCGCTGCAATTCGACCAGCGACAGATCAAGGGCATAATAATCTACTTTTTTTTCTGTCCGCTCGCATTCTCGCAGTATAATCTCGATCTTTCGCAGGTTTCTAGGAATTGTCAGCGTCTGTGGGGTAGTGGGTAGCGTCATGGGCACGGGATCCGGGGGTAACAGACCCACTGCCAAGTTCCACCAACTGGGCATTCTCCGGAATGCGCTCGACTATCCGTTTCGCATGGGTGGTCAACACTTCAATCTCCGTGTTCGTCGGGTAGTATTCCTCCAGATATGTGATTTTCTCAAATAGCTTCAATCCCTTCGCGTCGTAAAGCAGGAGGGTGGGGAATGTGCGCGGCGTGCCGGGAGGCGGGTCTATATGCTTGTAGATGTCGTCTACCAGGGAGATGCCCATGTCATCTTGGTGGATATCCACGATCTCGACCGAGTCGGCCGTTCGGAGTGCCGTAGGGGACATGTTGATAGCGATCTATAAGAGTCAGGGTTGTAATAAAGCATAAACAAATGCAGCCGTGGAGGAATTCAAGGGAAAGAGTAAGAGGTCGGATTCTTAAACGCACCTCTCAATCACCTCTATGACAAATTATTAGGAAACGAGGGAGCCGCGGTCCACCGGAATAAGGGACTAAGGAACACGGGCAGGAGTAGATCGGAGACGCAGAGTAATAACTTTAGCGCCGGTGCGGAGCATTGCCTGCAGACTTTATACATGTGAGCTCAGCACTAGATTGGCCTCAACCCGGTTTTTGGTCAATTTTCTGCTCGTGTTTGCATCAGGTACTCCGTCTAGATCCATGGCCTGATCCGATCGAGCGGCATTTGCGGGAATTTTGGGACACCGAGACATCAATAAGCACTTGAGTCACAGAAAAGCGCCCGTCTGACGTCGACTATTCCACTTTATGTTTGCATCCTGTCCATCGTGCCAATTAAGCTGCTGGAGATGTGGGGAGAGCTAGGACGTGGTGAGGTCATAGCGCTGTTTGCTGTGTTTGGACGTTTACACTGTTTGCTCAGTTTGCATTCTGTGTTTGGCTTAGTGTGCGACGTTTGTCATGTTTGTTCTGTTTATCCTGTTTGCTCGGTTGGTATCGTTTGCCCTGGCGGGAGCACCCGGGATCGGCGTCCAGGGCTTAACAGATGTCTCCGTCGAATCAAACCAACGCCACCTAGGACAATGAAAGCAAATCTATATATACCCTAATATTTGGACATCGCCCTCTTTCACTCCAACAACCATGGCTTCCAATGTTTCTTTGGTTATGCCCGAATACTCCGTACAGAAGGGCCAAACGTTTCCTGCCAAACCCCCTGCATAACCACCTGTCCAGGTGGGCATCTCGATCAATCCCACCAATCAGGATTTCCAGAGCCCTCCTACCCCTCAGCTACGCAGATAAAATGGGAAGAATGCTGGGGTTTCTGCGCGGTCTACGCAAAGATCAGATATCTTCTGACCCCCTCCATGGACGAATTCTGCACAACGCATGCGCTTGGTGACTATGTCACACGCGACCAAATCCATCTTCTCGAACATCAGGTATCTCTTGCGACAGGTGCACCTCGAGGATCACATTTTAACGCACAGGTGTGACACGTCATGTCCACCTCACCCTCTGGTGAATTTGAAGCAGCTTGTGTGTCTGGCCCTTATCGGGCAAGTTCTTCCTCCGAGGTGGATACGGCTTGGATTTCAGACATATGCACCTCCTTGGGTGAGGATCATCATCTTGCAGATGCCGAGGAAGTTCCGCGAGAAGATAAACCCTACGGAGTACCCAGTGATGGAACTTGCATTGCGAGTCATGAAAAGCAATCCATTCTTGGCTGAGGTAGACAAAGTGCGCTGTCGAGTCTCTGTTGCCACAGTCCAACGTCACGTTGAACGGTATGAATATTCCATCAACAGCTTAAAGGTAGTGGAGCGCAGAATCTAAATTCGTCCTGGGCATCGCCAAATTCACGAAAGCTAGAAACCTCATGAAACTTGAAGACTTTGCAGAAGCATATTGGCTATTTGAGCAGGCTCCAGATCTACCGGTATATGGTTAGAAGGCTCGTGAGTACCAAGAAGACATGGCTAACTTCCCACATCTGAATCTTACTGGGCTTCGTTCATCTCCTTTGGCTTCTGCGCATGTTCTCTTGGGTTGGGATCTAGATGTCCAGGATACACAATGAGATTATGTTTGTGACAAACGGTCTTTTCTCAACTGAGATAGACAATGAAGTCTTTGACAATTGGGACAGCATCTCCAAACAGAACAGAGCGAGTAGTGGGCTTTTGCTGAGTGGTTTTCCCAGCTTCTTCTCTGCCTGGTCGATGCCAGCGCTTCTTCCAAGGTTGTGTGATGAAGCCAATTTTATCATTGATACAAAGGCTGGAAATATTATCATGCGAGTAAATTTCCAAGGCCATTCACCGTTAGCTCAAATGAGATACGCGTAGACCCTTTGGTCATGCAATAAGTCTTTCAACGCGAAGAAGCGTCAATGGAGAAAAAGAATCCCTATACATCTATCCATGGGTGTCTCAGATTTCAGGTGCGAGACGAAACGATCTGGGGGCGTCAAGCGCCTCAAGTCTCACATTGTCCTCAGACTCTATTACTTTCTTCCCATTTAACTCAACTTCTCTCACTTCTGATCCCTTGGTAAAGGATCCTAGAATCTGCAACCGACCGTATTGGAGTTCTACTGTCAACTCTCCTTCCTCTTCTGACACTCTCTCAGACTTCAACCAACGCGTCGCTTCCTTCATCATCCAACATGGAGGGACTCCACCCAAACGAGCCTTTGTCCCACGAGAATCTCGATCAGTCTCATCTTCTCATGTACACAAGCCTTGGTCAAGAGCACAGCGCAGATCCCAATCCCAACGAGTCTCAGGATCTTCCAGAGGCACATTCAACCTCTTTTGACCTCGCGCTTCATAAGGAGAAAATGCAGAACTCTCTACTTCAGTTTGAAGTGGCCTTTAATCGTATCACCGAGAAGTTTGCCAAGAACCCAATTCACGACGATACCGGTGACCTGGATTTGGGTAGCGCGATGAATATCTGTTTGTGTTTCAAAAGACAGGCAAACCATTTTATGCAGTCCCTCCACGAGGAGAAAGACCCATGGAAGCTGAGCACCATTGTCGATCAATTCACTTTCACATGCACCATCGCACAAATCAAGACACTCATCTATCTTGACCGCGAAGACGAAGCCAAAGAACTCATTGAACCTGCCAGACAATTCGAGGCAAAGCTGAAGACTGAGTCCAATACAGCTAGACTGCACACCTGTCTAGGCTTGCTTGCGTACAAGCGGGGTGACATGGTACTCGCTCATGCGTACACCACTTCTGCATCGCGCTGTGCTCCATATGCCGACTTCGATGCTTCTGAGAACGAGCATCTCATCGTCTTGCATGATCTCAGCAATCCCACTCTCACGACGAAAGCCCGGAAAGACCGACAGAAGGCCTGGGCTCAACTTGCCCATCCCGGTTCGAAAGAACCATACACTCCAGCAAGCGTCGATCGAATTTGTCCCCCCGTCATCTTTGATCAGACGGTAGTGCCCCCGGTGAAGATTCTGCCCATTGGAACGCAGACACGCCGCACTCGGGGTCGCCTGGTCTTCAGCCCCACAAAGCCATACCCTACTATGGTATATGACAATGAAGAAGAGTTGGAAAAGGCAGTTACACCCTCGCGCGCAGGTATTCCTGGAGAGCCCGCCTTGGGAAAACCAGCTCCAGGCACGAATGCCCTCAACACACTCCTCACGGAGACAGTCGACAGCGAGCTTGCGTACAAGGATGAAGTGTTCGATCGCAAAGTCGCGGGTATGATATTCAAATTCACCGGCCTGAAGACTGATGAAGCGGGCAGTGAGGCAACCAAGGCGCAACAAACGGAGATACTGAACTTTCCAGGCTCGGGACGACCTCGGGGGCCGGACAGTAAACGAACTCGGTTCAATCTGAGGGCCTTGGAGAGAAGGTATGGTCGAGAGGCTGTGAGGAAGTGGATGAATACTTCTCTCAGTGAACGTCACAGGAGAGAGATACTTGGGCCTAATCGGTGGACGTCCATTCCCGGTCGGATGTTTTTGTCAAAATATACATCCGACACCTGCGACAAAACTGACACCGAGAAAGATGCGAACAAGGAGTGATTTATTATGGCGAATCGTACTACAGATGTTATTGAGTTAGTCGAGTCAATGAAAAATGCCTTATCAGCGAGGAGTGTGTTTTGTAGTGGGAGGATATACGGCCACTCTTAGGTAGCATGACTTGACTTGATAAACTCCGTTTTGGATCATAATGGCAAAAATCGTGGAACTTTCCATCAAGCAGTTTCGTGGTCTAGCGGTTATGATTTTCCGTTAACAATTGCCTCACAGGCGAGAGTTCCGGAAAGGTTCTGGGTTCGATTCCCAGCGAAACTATTTTTTGTCTTTTCGGGTACCATCCCGCACGGATTGTTAGCGGAGGTACTTGTCATTGTTTTTTGGCAATCAAATGAAATGTTGGAAGGTCTAGCCTTGGAATCTCCCTACATGGTATGCTGCAAACCATCGAGATCGAAGGACTACCCATGAAAAAAAAAAACTCAATGCTTGTCTATCTAGGTAGTGAGATCCATGGCACACAAAGTAGTCAACCTGGGAAGTAGTATTCAAAGTCTATGAAATGGTATTTTCGAACAAAAAATTAATGTAAAGAGGTATCAAGGCCAAAAATCAACGTCTATGCAGCAAAATGAGGGGCGTTAAGGACCAGACCCATCAGACAACCACCAATGGTGCCAGCAATGGGAATGGTCATGATCCAAGCAAGCAACAAGAGACCAACACGTTGGAAGTTGACAGCCTTGAGGGTTCCGTTGCACAGTCCAACACCGACCGTGGCACCGGTGATACACATCGACGTGGACACGGGCAGGGAGTACTGCGAGAAAACCAGGACGGTGATGGCAGCTCCCATCTCCATGGAGGAACCACGAGAAGGCGAGTGGTAGGTAATCTTGTTACCCATGACTAGGAGAAGTTAGTAAAGGAACAAAGGAATGAGTGTCAGAAGAACATACCCTTCATGATGTTGTATCCGTAAGTGCAGAGACCGATGGAAATGCAAAGGGCCAAGACGGCAAGCTGCCACACAGGGACAGGAGACTTGGAAGCAGCGGGTGTACCAGTCGACCAGGCAGAGTAGATAGCAGCCCAGGGGCCGACGGAGTTACCGATATCATTGGCGCCGTGGGCGAAAGAAGCAGTGCAGGCAGTGATGATCTGAATGAAGGAGTAGGTGTGCTCGACTTCATTGGGGTACTTCTCTGCGGCAGCGTAGACACGCTTCATACGATCGCCCTCAGGAGTACCGTGGATACCGCTCTGGGCAGTGTGGATGTCATAGTGGAAGCCGTAGAGGAGTCCGACGGTGATGATGGCGGGGATACGCTTGAGCATGCGCATGAAGTTGCGGACTTCATAAATCTCACCGGCGCCCATGGGGTTGTCGCGGAGGAGACGCATGCCCCAGCCCAGGGGGCCGCGGCTGTTGAGGAGCTTGGCGTTGTGGCGGGCTTCGGACTGGGCCATGATCTCGCGGTAGGAGAGCTGGTTGGCTTCGAGCTTCTCGACGGACCGGCCGTCGGTGGAGCCAGGGATGGAGGTGACTCCGGTCTTGACTTCCTTGTCGTCAATGGGAAGGTGGGTCTCTTCCTCTGGCTCGTCTTGCATGACGGCGTAGTTGGGAACTTTGGCGACTTCGCCTTCGGTGGGGACTGCCCGGCTGAAGAGGAGAGGACCAAGGACGACGTGGTACCATCTGATGGAGGGATCTCTCTTGATGACGCGGGAGTGCAACCAAGGGACGAAGAAGAGAGCGGAAAGCAAACAGACACCACCGCCGGTACCCATGGTGACGGCGACAATGTACGAGGCGGGCTTTTTGCTCAGGCCAAGGTTAGGCGAGCCCTTGTAGACAATGGAGAGTGTGCAAATGGTAGCAGCCACCAGGAAGAAGAAGGGAGCGCTCCAGACGGCCCATGGGATTGGGTTTCTCCGCATGTGCACCACGACCTTGATAAGCATGAAGATGATAGCACCAAAGGCTCCCGAAATGACTGGAGCCATACCGAGACCTGCGAAGATGGCACCGAGACCCTTTCCGTCGTTCCAACCCCATTGCACCTGGGATGCACCGACGGTTGCAACACCGACACCAGCGACAGCGGAGATGAGGGAGTAGGTGGAGGAGACGTGAGCGGAGTGTTTGGTGCACCACATGACCCAGGATGAGGCAGCGGCGAGGGCACATGTGAAGGCGAGCATCTGGACTCCGGCATTGTCTTTGAAGGCACTGTTGGGGATGATGCCGTTCTTGATAGTATCGGCAGTACGGGCACCGACTGTGACTGCACCTAGGAACTCGAAGATTGTACCGAGAACCATGGCCTGGCGGTAGGAGATGGAGCGAGAAGAGACACTAGTAGCCCAGGAGTTGGCAACATCGTCTTCCAGGGGTTAGTTGATGCTTTCCAGAGAGGAGAGACTGTACTCACTTGCACCATTGTTGTATGCATCCAGCATAGCAAACAATGTGCCGATGGCGAAGATGTAATCGTATTGGTGGAGATACATCTTGATGGCTTGATGGCTTGATGATTCCAAGTTGGTATCAAGTCAATCTCAAGTCAATCTGAAGTCAAGGCTGAGTCTTGGTTGCACGAAAAGAGAAAACCAAGACAGAGGTGTCTGCACTTTATGTACGATCCATTCCATCTCGTCTAACGCGCTCAGCGACATGAGCTCCGATGCTGCGCGTGGTAAGCCTTGCCCAGGCCTTCCACATTGGGACATATTGCGCACACGTGCGGTGCAGACTCGCAACGAGAGGACCTCTGCCATGGTGTTCTTGGCATCCAGGCAGCGTAAACCCAATCTCCGTGACCATAGGTTTGGGGGCGTTTGGTGTCACGCAATGAAACGCAGTGCCAAGAAAGAAAAGCTCGTTTTCCGCAAGCTTAGGGTCTCAAGCAAATTGGACAAGGCCTTGGCAGCCAGGGCCACAGCGGGCTCGACATCGGACGGCGATATCAGACGGGGTGGCCGTAGTTCATCGCGGATGGTGATTGGTTGGACCGCGGGTGAGGCTCTTGGCGGGGGTGGAGTCCGGCCTGGACCCCAGCCAATCAGCGCCCGGAGAGTCTACACGTGGGTGTATAAGAGGTCCGGAGTGACGACGCCCATCGTTGGCTGCGCATGCCTTGACTTCCGTGGATTCATGTAACCTAATCCTCTTCTAGAACCGAGTCCTTTGGGTTCAATGGCACGTGTCTGACTCTCCTTCATGATCGAGGTGGCTTTCAAGGTAACAGGTAGTGTTGAGGTACTCCGTATTGAGCTTTTCGTTAGATAAGGACCAAACTACACCTAGGCAGAATACCCATCAGATCAAGGCGTCGCTCGAGAATAAGTGATGGCTCGCAGAAACTCATAGTCGTATTTCCTAATTGGGTCTTCGGGGCGAACGTCTGTTCCGAGTGGCATTCCCCGATACTACCTAGTACTGTCATCGCCACCTGGTTCGCATCTTGAGACCAATGACATGCAGCCAGATTTCATTGGCCTGGGGGGTGGATGTCAAGGGTCTTCGTTCATATTAACCGTTCATCGCGCAGTGGTTGCCCCAGTCAGCACACATGATAGGTCCAAATTATCATCTCCTGGCTACTACTGGCTGACACTAGTGCTGGTCCGGGGCTTGCCACAGTTAATAAAAGCCATCCTATCAGAATTGATACAAAGCTCGAGTCAGATCCAGCTGATTCAATCCAGAAAAGTCTTTGTGATCGGTTGAACCAGACTTCCAGCACGTGGCGAATGCTTGTGGATTTTCCTATGCGAGTGAAAACATCATACAGTAGGGAGTACGCAAAATGCATCTTTGACACTGACGGTTCGCGTTGAGGTGCAGCACTAAATAACCGACCCGAACACCGTGCATGGCCCACTCGATTCCCACGTGGATTGTACGTTAGAATGCATACGAACATGCCACAGCACCTTCCGATTGAGGCCTGTTCAAGAATTCACACCGAACGTGGCTTTGGGCCTTGTTTTGCATGTTTCTCACCCTGTCAAAAGACAACTGACCAACAAACTTCTGAGCCATAACCCAAAACTCCGAATAGCACTACACCAGGACCCGGCAAACGTTATTCAGTTCTGGAAGGAAATCATGATTGCATCGAGATTGATATCTCGAAGTATCGGAATCCCATGCGGTGATGTCCGTACTTCGAGCTAGGCCTTCCAAGTTTCAGTTATCCGGGGCGCTCGAACACCAAAGCGAACCCTTGGGAACATATGATGCTAACTATATCAACAAATCCCAGAACGTGCAAGAATATGCCACTGAATTCTGGATATCGGTTTTCCAGTTCCTGGTTCCTCCCTCCTACTAGGTATTCACAGAACGCCGAACCCGTGCACCGCATCCAGATCCACCAGAAGCTCGAACCTATACTTCACGCCACACATCTCAGTCCGATAAGCACACTCCCCTCGAGGCAAACACAGTAGCGGCTATGCGGGCATTGAGGCAAGAGATAAGGGGCATCCTAGGGGTCTACAATCAACCTTGGAAGTTTTCCAAGGTTACCATGCCTGCCACGATATTTTCCCGATAAATACAAGAATGCCGTGAGCCACACGCTCACCGGAGTGCCAAAGTCTAGCATACGGGTGTAGAGTTAACAGGAGGCGAGCTGAGTATTTCCAATTTTTGACAAGCTTTATTGTCGATAATCCCTACCGGATCTTATGGGCGAAGGGACGGGAAGTGACAGGGACTCGGACCCCATACTTATATACTAGCTACGTTCGGATTTTACATTGAGTAAATCATCCAGATGTCCAAATTGACCTTGGAACCAGACAGATGCCGATCACGAAATCACGGAGCTTTCAGAATACCCGTGACCGACTCGTTGACAATTCTTCCAAATGTATTGTATCAATGGCGTTGCAATATTCAATTGTGCTCGCAATATTAAAAAGAAATCTAGTAGTTCAAGATTGAAATTAGGAGATTTAGGATCGACGACGCAACCGGTCCCAGAGGCTTCCCATCCCTGCCATCGGTTTTGCGACAATGACATCAGGGACGGCCTGGAGAAGGAAGCCCACGGGAATGGAAATTGCGCCAAGGACAACGGAATAAGCCCACTGATCGCCGGTCAATGTGGTGATTGAAAATGCGCGCCCACCGACAAACATGATCAAGATCTGAGCGCCCATCATAATGGAAGTGATTGCGATGAAAAGCCAGTTCCGATGCAGCCCCTCAACGAGGTTGAAAGAACGTTCGATCTGTCGGTTGCTGGCTGGAGGTTAGCTAGGAGACTCTGAGCTGTGGGGTTTACATACTTGTACATGTTGAAAATCTGCATCCAAACATACGTGTTGAAAATCGCAGTTTGCAATTGGGATGTCTGGTGAGCACCGTGATAGGAAAATATCGACGAGCCAGCAAAGTAAAGCACCAGTGTCACGACCATCTGATAGATGGACTGGCCGATTATCATTTTCCACATCGTGGGTGTGATCAATGGGGTAGAGATTGGTTCAGGCTTCCGGTTCAAAATCCGTCGAGGAGGCGGGTCAGTAGCCAACGCCAGGGCTGCAAGAGTGTCCTGGAAGAGATTCACCCACATTAACTGCACGGGCGTGAGAACAGACTCCTGCGATGAGTCGGCCACGGCGGAAACAAATGCCAGCCCGACGGACGTGAATGTGATGGTGATTTGAAACTGCAGGAATTTCTTCACAGCATCACCGACAGCTCTGCCCCACATGATTGCTTTGACGATTGATGAGAATGTGTCGTCCATCAAGACGATTGAGGAGGCCTCGCGAGCTATCTCAGTGCCTGATATTCCCATCGAGAATCCGATGTCCGCGGCTGCGAGGGCAGGAGCATCGTTCGTTCCATCACCCGTGACAGCAACTACTCTTCCGAGATCTTTGAGTCGCTGAACTAGGATTCGCTTGTCATCTGGGCGGGACCGAGCTAGTACTTTGAGATTTAGTACGATATCTTTCTGTTGTGTTTCATCCAGTGTGCGGAACTCGTCTCCCTCCATCACTATGTCGTCGGAATTATTGATGATTCCACATTCCCGGGCAATCGCTCGAGCAGTCAGATGGTTGTCTCCGGTGACCATTCTCACAGTAAGACCTGCTTTGTGACTCGTGTCGACAGCACTCCACGCATCGGATCGAAGAGGGTCCTGTAGACCAAGGATACCTTGGAATGTCAGGGCTTGCATGACCTGCTCAAAGTCGACATTTTCACCATCCTGCCTCAAGGGCAAAACTTTGAGATCGCGGAAGCAAACAGCGATAGTCCGCAGGGAGCGTGAGGCATACTCGGAAATTCTCGAGCGAATTCCTTCGATTGCATGGTCGGTGGCTGCCGTCTCCTGCGTCTGCTCTCCTTGCTGTGATTGGATGGCAGTGCATTTCCGAAGGATGCCCTCTGGAGCACCTTTAATGTAAGCGCGATATGACCCATTAGGCAATTTGATGATCGTAATCATGTATTTCCGAGACGCGTCAAATGGCAGCAGATCCACAACCTCCACATTCGATCTCTCAAAGTCCAAGTGACCAAGGCCAAGATGGTCCTGCGCGAATCTCAAAAGCGCAGCTTCTGTTTGGGAGCCCAAAAATTGTCGACCTGCACCCTCCTGGCTCTCAATGGCAGTTGAATTGATGACAATAGATTGTTTCAGGTCAGAGTTCAAGGTGGCAGAAAGAGAGCTCAGCTCAGCGGCCACATGCGAAGGGTGCTCTGGGTCCGCATCGATAGACTCCTTCCGTCCAGTGAGTGATTCGGAACCAAAGAAACAAGACACAACAGTCATCTTGTTTTGGGTCAGAGTTCCAGTCTTGTCGGAGCAGATATCCGTGGCTTGTCCCATAGTCTCGCAGGCACGAAGCTGCCGCACCAAGTTGTTATCCCGCATCATACGCGTGGTCGCAAATGACAAGGCCAAAGTAACTGCCAGCGGAAGTCCCTCGGGAACCGCAATGACAACGACAGTCAAGGAAAGAATGAAAACGTTCAAGAAAGCTTGGCCTTTCTCCGAAGCAGACTCGGTACTGTTGCGAAGACTGACGCAGAATTTGATGAACAATATCACGAACAGCACGAGTGCCGCAAGTGCGCCAAACCGAGCGATGTTCTTGGCCAAGACGCTCAGTCGCACCTGAAGGGGTGTAAAGCCTGGATCTGTATCTAGAGACAGCAGCACCTTTCCATAGCTCGATCTGGTGCCTGTTGCCAGCACGAGGTAAGCACCGACCCCTTCCACGACCTTGGTGTGTGACAGAATGAATGGGTCGACCTGCTGAGATCCATTATGGGTGGTCTCGAGAGAATGCTTATCGACAGGATCAGATTCGCCGGTTGCTGACGACTCATCCAACTTAACCTGGTGTCCGCTGATTAATATTCCATCCGCGGGCACAATATCGCCCGGGTTGATGTGAACGATATCCCCGACCACGACATCTGATATCGCAACCTCATGGGTTCTGGACGATCGAAGAACCCATACACTCCGATCCTGCTGCTTCTTGTTGAGCTTCTGAAACTTGAACTCTTTTTGATAATCGTTGGCGGCACCCGCGAGTGTGATGACGACAATAGCGACTAGGATCGAAACTCCCTCGACCCATTCGACAGGTGGATTATCGGCGGAGTGCTTGGTGCCGAATGTCTGATAGAGACCCAAAGCAAGCGATATGATAGCCGCGCCGGTCAGAAGGAATAGAACGTGATCGTTGTAGGCTGCCCACATCAACGAGATAAAGCTCGGCGGTGGCTTCGTCGGGAGTCGGTTGTCTCCAAAGTACCGCCTCCTGCCAACGAAGGAATCATGTTCAGGTCCCGCTGCAGGGTCCTCAGGGGTAGTGACCTTCTCGGTGGACGCAGCGCTTGTTGACACCACCACCGAATCCAGATGGGCTTCGTTGAGACTCAAGCCGGAGCGGACATCTGTTTGCAGTGCATCTTCCCAGCCCCTCACACCAAGATCCTGGACCTCTCGGAGATTTTTGGACACGACCAACTCGCCCAGCGTGTCAGGGTCCAAGGCGAATGCCGATCCATTGGAGCTGGATTGCTCGGTAGGTTTCGATCGAGTCGTTCTCTGGTTTGGTCAGTGGACGGTCTCTTGATTTCTCTGCGTACTCACCATGCGAGACCAAAAAGGTACTCTCGATAATGACATTTTAGGTCATTGGGGAGTTTTGGTGTGGATGAGGTGAAAATACCGAGACGGTAAGATATCGGTACTGTAACAATTGCGCGTCGGGTGGGGTTTCGGGAGATTGGTTTTTTGCTTTTCGCCTGTACGCTTACGGAGTATATGGGGAAGATTGCATATAGCTAGTACGGAGTACGGAGTATCCCTGGAATTCAATAGCCAGCAGGGGGGAATGATCGACATCTGAATACTCCGCTGTTTCGCCCTACAAGGCTATATGTGCACAAAGGACCCTCGGACCCATTAACCACGGCCTACATATGCAATCATGCAACTCGGATCCTAACCTGGAAGTCCAATGTAGAGGTCCACCGTATAATAGGCAGCCTAATTGATCATAGGGCTGTGCTGCAGGGCGGAGTATATCGTGACTCTTCAAAAGCAAGCCAACACCCAGACATCACACACATACATGAGGGACAGCCTTGGCAGGGAGGCTGTGCAAGACAATGCCTAATGCCCAAGTCCAAGACCGTCCGATCCTCTCAGTCCAAGAACCAAATCCAAAGAGGTGCATTGTAAACAAACATTGTCGATTGGTCATTGATCTCATTAAAAAGGAAAAGACTAACGGCTGGACATGACTAACGAGGACACTCTCTCCCCACATTCCCCAGAAGAGCCTAATTCAACGTACTCTGTGCATTCTGATCCGCGGCTTCTACCCACGCTACCCGTCTCAAATCTTCCAAGGCAGCCAGGGTATCTGGGTGGTCTTTCCCAATCGTCTGCTCTCGACGCGCGTGCACAGTCTCTGCCATCCCACCGGCAATATCCCACTTGCTTTGTGATTGGTAGATGTAGCCTAGATTGGCCATCGCACTGAGTGTGTGCGGGTGATTCTCGCCTATCGTTTCTTTCATCAGATGTAGCGAGCGGGCCGCCAGGACCTCAGCGTCGTGTGGTTGGTGATTCATTTGATAGGTGACTGCGAGGTCTGCCATCGCGACCAGCGTATCCGCATGTCGCTCCCCGAGGACCTCCGTCATAACTGCTGTGACCTTTTTGCCCAGTTTGGTCGCCTCTTCCAGTCGACCCTGACTGCGGTATGTTGAGGCAAGGTTGCCGATCGACTTGAGAGTCTGCGGGTGGGTTTCCCCGAGGATTTTCTCACTGTTGGCGACAACTTCCTTCTCTAGACGCTCAGCTTCCACCCAGCGCCCTTGTTCCCGGTACGTGCTTGCCAGATTGGCCATACAGGTAAGTGTGAAAGAATTGTGGGTCCCTGACTCGTTAAGGCTAATAGCGACGACGTCCCGCTCCAACTTTTCGGCAGGGCCGAACTGTCCTTGATCGCGGTACGTTGACGCAAGAGTCAATTTCCAGTTCAGCAGCGAGGGGTTCGTTTGCGGGATCCCATGTTTCTCCGCATCATCGATCAATTGACGTATGATCGACGCTGCTTCCTGATACCGACCAACCTGGGCATACGAATTGGCGAGGTTGGATATTGAAGTCAAGGTGGAAGAGTGCCAAGGCCCATGGGCCGTGGTCTTAAGCTTGACGGTGTGTGCATCAAGCTTTTGTGCCTCCTCCCAGCGACCCTGGCGCCGATACGTGGACGCCAGATTCGTCATGGAAGCCAGGGTCTGGGGATGCGTCTCACCGAGCAGATTCTGCCTTAGATTCGTGACACGAAGACTTAACGCGGCGGCTTGGTCGAGCTGTCCGCGTTGCAAATGCGCGGCAACAAGATTGTTCATTGCTGTCATGGTCATGGGGTCACGTTCGCCCTTTAAGCTCTCGCATGTCTGCAAGACCAAGATGCCGAGGTCTTCAGCCACGATCCAGGAGTTGGCGCAGAGCCATTTTCGCACGCACCCGCTCAGCTCTTCGAGCGTTATGGTTGCTGGGTCAGGGGTGTCTGCGAGGATTCTTTTGCCGGCGGTTTCGATGGCGGTCTCAAGGTCTGTGGCCTCGGTCGTCCAGCCTCGGCTATGATATGCCGCCGTGAGCTCGGTGACTCTCCTCTGAAGCAAATCGAGGGTGGGAGGGAGATTATCCATAGATATCAGGCAATGGGGAATGGCGACCATGCGAACCTTGCAAGCCGGTGCTTTCCAGGGTTTCGATCTGATAGTCCAAGGTTGAGTCGCAATCTGTAATTTGCGGATCAATGAGTGAAACAGGATCCAGGATGCGGCTCTCTGGGATATTAAGAGATTAAGAGAACGGCAATTGTCCAGGAGGGTAACCCGTTCATTGCCAAGGTGGGGGGAAAGGGGCAGGAGATGACGAGGGGTATTGTAACGGTAAGAAAACAACGATCTTCAGACAAGAATAGTTCAGCCCTGTGGGAAATGCGGTTGCCTGGTAAATGGGTCAGCCCTATCCGGACATGTTCACGCTAGTAATAGGGCTGTCCCATACACGTCATAAGGCTGAATACCGTAATCCCTGGTAATCTGGTAATCCCGTAAGTATTGAAACATGTTTCCCCGGTCGCATCATCTTCCACCTCACGGATCCTTGGTTCTTGGAAGCTTCCTCCGATCTAAGATGGCCTCGCAACATATACACTGCCGAGAGCCTCGACATCATCCAGATCTTGGGGCGCGAATTCAAGAATGGTTCACAGCACCTGCCCAAGGCAACTTCAGTCCTGGCCTGCCAGTGATGATGTTGCTTCCTCTGGCTGGGGCTGCAAAGCTCTTTCACTCGAACCCGACTATCATCTTAGTAGTCAACATCGTCGCGATCATATTTCTGTCAGAGACTATCTCGGTCTCGAGTGATGAACTCGCGGAGCATCTGGGGGAGCTGCAGGGTGCATTGCTCAGTGCCACCTTTGGAAATACCGTCGAGCTAACGGTGAGCCTCATACTCCATTTGGAAGGTCTGAGTTGATACAGTACTGATTGAAATCTAGGCGGGGATTCTGGCTTTGGTCCATGGCGAAATCCAATTTGCGCAATCAGTCATGGTTGGGAGCATTCTGTCGGATATTTTGCTCGTGAGTCTAAGTTCAAACATTGGAATGTTTCGATTATGCAGCTTACGCAAACATAGGTTTTTGGCGTCTGTCTGATCACGGCGAGTTACAAGAAAGATGTGCTCCATTTCAACGGCGCCCTGGCCAAGACCCTTTCTTCGTTGATGATGATCACAGCAGTGGCAATCCTCCTCCCAACTGCTCTATACTCCACCTTCCCAGTGTCTGAGATTGATGATCGAGTCCTTTCATTCTCACGGGGTACGGCGGTAGTCTTGCTCGCCCTATACGGAGGCTATCTCTACTTCTATCTCGGAACGCACAAGCATCTCTTCATCTCAACTGACAGCGAAGCCAGCGATGACGAGGACGACGCAAAGCCCGAGCCGAAGCCACCAGCAACTCTCGCTTCATCGATTATCCGGCTCACGACAGCTGTTGCAGCGACAGTATTCTGCACAGAGCTGCTTATCGAGAGCACAGAGGACATGGCACAGACGCTCGGTGTGTCAGAGGTCTTCATTGCGATTGTCTTCATTCCAATTGCGAGCAACAGTACCGAGGGTGTGACCGTGGCCGCATCGTCCAAGTCGGGAGACACCGACTCTGCAATTCGGGTGATCATCGACAGTCTTCTCCAGATTGGCCTGTTTGCCATTCCGTTTTTGGTTGTTGTCGGATGGTGCATTGGACAGCCCATGACGCTCTTTTTTGACTCGCTCCAGACAGTCTCTATGTTTTTGTCCATTCTGGTCGTCAATCATCTTCTGAGAGATGGCCAATATGCATACATTCATGGTGCCATGCTCCTTGCCTTGTAAGTACTTAACTCCCTTGGGCCCATCTCACTTCAAGATTCCGATACTGACACTCGATAGGTATTCTGGCCTGATTGCTGCATTCTACACGCGCTAGGGCTCTACTTCCATCTCATACTCAGATTTTTGTACTTTTCTTGATTTTCATTCCATTTTCCGTTGTTGCGCGTGGATGAGATTTTATTCCAATGTATTGCGACTAAATCAGCTTAAAGGGTAGCGCAGTGCGTTCAGACATAATAACGCAGTTATGAATCTAAGATCCTAGAAAGATCACATTAGCCGGTATCTCCGGCCGAACAAAGAATGAGACCATGATGATGCAGTACCTGAAAGAACAAAGTTAGCATATAACCCAAGATAAACGCAGGCGAGAACTCACGTTCCAATCAGCATCAGTCCCTCGAAGTAGTTGCTGCGTCCATCAGAGATGAGATAAGTCATAACAACAACACTCAGTAAAAGCGTCGTAGCTTCAAACCCATCAAGTCTCATAACGAGTGGCCGGTTGAACACCCAACCGATAAGCACCAAAAGTGGCGCAATAAGCATCGTTACCCGCAAAACAGTATTGATCACTGCCCGGATGCCAAGCTCAACTTGACCATATAGTCTTGACCCAGTGACAATAGACGAATACTTGGCCGAATTTCCGACCAATGGAATAAGTGTAACGGCCAAGAAAGATTGGTTTGCGCCCGTTATCGAGGCCAATCCACTGAGACTTCCAACTATGTGATATGTGCATGTGAGCGCAGACGCAGAAGAAGCAAGAAGAATGAGAGCCGCTGGGCCTTTTGCTATGTACGGCCGCGGGATTTGAGCGTCGATAATTTGACTCTGGCCGTGTTGGTGGCGGCTGCGCGGTCGGTCCCGTTGGCTGAACGGGGTACTTGCGAACATTCTGGCGTGCGTTTTGAGTCGGAAGAAGAGGAAAGTTATGAGGAGAGTAATCAAGACCACGGATATTATCCGCTGTGTGTAAAGTATGTCGTCTGCAGGTGTGGCCTTGGCGGAGGGGAAAACGTCCATGATTGTGGGGATAGAGAGCAGGATGAAGACGACCATCATGAGGGATGAGAGGATTGTCGTGAGATGCTTATCGAAGCGTAGTCGCTTCTGGTCATATCCGGCGTAGAATAGAGTGCCGCCGAGGACCTGCATAGTTCTGATATCAGCACATTGCCACTGACGGCCGGCCTGTGATAAGACACACCAGTAGCAGATTGCTGAGAACACCGCCCAGAATCACGGATTGGGAAATATGTGGTCTTCGCTGAATGACAGCATTGATTCCGATCTAATGATTGTGTCAACTCAACATGAGCTCATCGCCGCTTGGAAACCACGTTGCATACCATCAATTCCACCGAGTTCCCCAGAGTTGACTTCAAAAGCTCATTAACAACCCGTATCCCATCCACAGATAGAGAATCAACCGATCGATTGATCCAGGAACCCAGTGGGATCAGAGCAACGGTATTGAATAAGAAGGTGGCGGCACTGTTTCCCCCCAGAGCCCCGGTCGCAATACCGATGAGGGGTATTAGCAACGAGAGCCCGAGGCGGTACTGTTCCAACTGTGCCATGACCATCATAACTAGGCAGGGTATTCTTCTTGGTCAGGATGAGGCCGAGAGAAAACAACGGAGCCTTCCAATGTTCCAGGGTTGGGAACGGGGCCCCATGTGCTCCAAGGTTTCGGGTGAAATGAGGCTCGGGGCCGTTCCATGGTTACGCATTACCGGTAATACAAATACCACTCAAAGCGTATTATCCCGTGTACGGTACTCCGTATTGCGTGGGTGCCTGTGGAGAAATCCAATATCCCCCCAATACCAATCTTCTTGTTTCCCTCATCTCAACCCAGAATCATGGACACAACTCACCCCCGACTACGAAAGCCACATCAGAGCGAGGTTATGGCCAGCGACCTCGGACAGTCACAATGCAGAGAACAGACAGGATCCGGGATGGATCCGCTTTCAAACTCAACTCGCCCTGAGTCTCTCAGCGGCTCTGTCTGGCGTGTCATTCGGACGGCCTTGGGATGCAGCTACGCTAACCTGCTTCTCCCGTTTGTGTTTTTGGGCATGACGGCGGGAAGTCAAGGGTGGGACGACTCGATTGTCTTCGTGTTTAACTTTCTGGCCATTCTCCCGTTGGCGGCATTGCTGTCGTTCGCCACGGAGGAATTGGCGAAAAGCGTGGGACAGACCCTTGGTGGGCTGATTAATGCGACCTTTGGAAATGCGGTTGAGATGATCGTAAGTGTCTGGACTTTGAGACGCTGTGGGGAAACTAATGGTCACTGCGCAGGTGGGGATCACGGCCGTCCGGCAAGGGGAAATTAATATCGTCCAATCCAGTATGGTTGGAAGTATCTTGTCCGGGAACTTATTGGTAAGAGCCCCGTTCCAGATACTGAGTGTCTTGCTGATGCCCCTTTTTCTAGATTCTTGGGGTTTCGCTATTTTGCGGCGGCTATTCCAAAGATGCTGTGGAGTTCAACGTCGATGTCAGTGGTATCCTATCTTCGTTGATGGTCATATCCTCGGCGACACTGATTATTCCATCCGTGCTTTATTCCACCATATCCTCCAAGTCCCACGATGTGGAGGCTAGCGTGTTGAATCTGTCCCGCGCCGCTTCCGTGGTTCTACTGGGCTTTTACCTGGTCTATCTGTACTTCCAGCTCAAGAGCCATGCAGAGCTCTTTGTGGATGATGAGTCCGAAGAGGAGGAGCCACAGGTCCTCGGACCCTGGGCTGCTAGCATCATCCTGATTCTCGCCACATTGGGTGTAACCGCCTGCTCCGATGGATTGGTGGAGAGCGTGGATGGCTTTGTGGATAAATGGCATGTGAGCCGGGCCTTCATTGGTCTGATTGTTGTTCCCATTGTCGGAAATGCGGGAGAGTTCAACACGGTGATCAATTCATCGCTCAAGGGAAACATGAACCTTGCAATTGGAGTGGTTGTGGGTAGCACGTTGCAGATCGCTTTATTCGTCAGCCCCTTCCTTGTGATGTGCGGTATGGCTATTGGACAGCCGATGTCTCTTCGCTACAGTCCCTTTGAGACTGTGGTATTCTTCTTATCCGTCATCGTGATGGATTGCTTGATCCGTGGAGGTCGGTCGAACTACTACGAAGGATCTTTACTGGTTGGGACGTGAGTATTTACCCGTGATTGCTGTATTGAACCGAAGTCTAACCATCATCTCAGGTATCTCATTATCGCCATCGCATTCTACGTGCATCCGGATGCAGTCAATGCTCCTCTGGTTTAAGCACCTGGGTAATAGCACCATATTCCCGAGATTTACATAGGATTCTGATTAGCGCAAATATAGCAGTATGAACAAACAATTCAGGATGACTCAATACAATCCATTGATGGAATAAATTACCTAGGTACCTGACCAACAAAATTGCGAAAACACGGAGGGGCTACTCCGCACTCCGTAGACGAAGCAAAAATGCAGGGATCAGCGCCATCAGTGGGCCTCGTAGGGCTGAGCCTTGGCGCTAAATGTGACCAAATGATCAGAGGGATGCAAGGTGGCGTACGTCAAGTTCCACTTATGATCCCGCAATTTCTTTCCCAAGGCTGCATGTTCACCTGGGCTGTTGGTATAGAGCGACGCGGCTGGAAGTTTCCCAATGTTCTGTGAGGCAATCGGTGTGACGGGTTCTGGACTCAACCCTGCCACGGTAATGAAGATATAGACCACACCCGCGGAGCTAGCTAGGTAGTCTCCAGGGCGTTGAAATGACAAATGGCGCATATGCAGGCTCATCACTCAACGATCTCAAAGCTTAACACTCCACTCGGAAGTAGGCAGCAGTGTTACCCAGCTATTATTCATTTACAATCAGCACGGCAGATGTGACTTGACTGGTTGCAGAATCTGTGTCCTAGACTAAAGGGGTAGCCAGGGATGGAACCAGAACTATTGATTCGGTGACTGATTTCATTATTCTAAACCTGGATTACCTCGCTCAAGTATGCCCCGCCGTGCTGATGTATCTGTTTCAGAAAAAGGTCTATGTAACCATGCACCCGGCGTCAAGTCAGGCCGAGGCCAGGCCATTAAACAGACAATTGTATATACTCGTAATGACAGCAGCATTTCCAAGGGCCAAACAAATTCCAAAGATACAAATTAAACAAGTTATGGAGAAAAACAGAGAACTAGTGTCCACGGGTCCAGGTTAGGATAATCATCGCAGCCACCAAGAATCTTGGGGAATCTCACCAAGCACAAAACGCTCCTAGGCATGTCCATTCGCAATCCCTTGCTCCATGGCCCCGGGTGTTTTGGCATATACGGGGGCAGGCTGTTGGACCGGTGTATAAGGCACCCATTGCTGTATCGGAGGTGGTTGGAAAGATTGCTCCAGTTCCCGGTCTTTCTTCTTGCGGTCCCGACGCATCTTGATGGCGAAAACCACGACCACAGAGATGACGATGAGGAGGACAATGGGGATGAGGATTGCTTTGAGCAACAGCTTGATGAGGCCCATGATCGGAAATGATGTGGATTTGGAGTGAAAAGAAAAGTACCTCAGCAAGTTTGGAGTAGTCGACAATCGTAAATTCGTCGACGTTATATATTGACTCAGCCTTGTCAATAACCTTGGAAGCTGGGTAGATGGTTGGGATATTTATATCTTTGTCCAACCCTGAACAGGACTTATGGCAACCTTGACCAGAGCGCTCTGTGCAACGAAACCATGTTCCAAAGTGTGATCCCCTAGAACATGGCGCAGCGCCTAATGGTCGAATTTGGTTGGCGACCAGGATAAAAGGTTGCCTAAGCATCGGGAACACAGCGATGGCTTCTTGTAACTGGGTAATCCGGATTCGACCACTTTCCCCAGCGCAGACTGCCCAGGTGGGCCCTTTAGCCTTGCACGGGGCATAATTGTGACGGATCTTGCATGACTGAAGCTTTTCCAGTGCTGAAATCCTGCTGGCTTCCAAGGTTAATATATCTAAGGGAGTCGGAATTCCACGTCGTGATAGGCCATAGGGTTAGCGTATTTCGAGTCTTATGCTATGATTCGGAGTATGTCCAGAATTTACACCAGGAGGTCGGCAATATCCAGTCCCCAGACCCACTGGGAGATTCCCATAGCCCCAACACTCATGGTGGCAGCCATGAGCAAGTTGACTCCATTGTTATCCAGCCAGTCACGACCTGTCTCAATACGCCGGCTCTCATGGCTTTCATCTCGCACAGGTGCACTGGACCTTCCGCTTCGCAATGTAGCAGCCTGTGGCCCTTCAAGTCCAGTGGTTTCGGCGGAGTCAACGGCCACCACTTTGCCCGAAGGGTGGATGATAACCTAAGGTTACATATTAGCGATGTCCAACAACCCAGAACTAATGTAACCTACCTTGCGACCGCCGCTTCCTTCAACAACTTTCCCGCTCCTCTTATCAACAACGCTAGCCTGCAGGATTCCACCCAGGACACTATCAAGCACACTGCCCAACGTGCCCCACGCAGTCATAGCGGCTGTCCACAGAAGACGCTCCTTGATTCCCGCGCTAGCGCAGAATGGAAGAACAGCGGCAGAAGTAGCAGAGACGATAAATGAGCCAAGAAGACCGGCGCCAAGTCCAGTGGCAGTGACGCCGCCATTTGTACCCGGTGGGACTTCACGAAGGGTGAGCGAGGTGATGAGGCGGGGCTTGGATTTCGAAAGGATGCCGAGCTCGGAGGAGAATGTGTCTGCGGCGACAGCTGCGTAGTTCCTATAGAAGAAAGGTGTCAGCGATGAAACAAACATCAAAAACAAAATAGAACTGTGCAAACGCAAAGGCAGCAACATACGCTACAATGCCCACGATCAGGATATCCGCTGTGGTCTGACCAAGCGAGAAACAGGAATCCGAGCTTGATTTCGAGAGCACGATTGCATGCGCTATAGAAAGCACCGTTGCGACGACGGAGTTCGCCAAAACTTGGATGTGGTTGCGGGGACCTTCGCCGCCCTCCGCACCGGCTGCGGAGAGCGTCAGGCGGGATTTGACCTCATGTTTGACCTGTACAAGATAGATTGTCAGTTCCCCAGAGCGTATGATGATTTGAGTAGAGGATATACCTTGGTGACTTTTGTTCCGCTGAAGTAGAATACTGCTAGCAGGGTGACCGGGGCAGACCATGGGTGTATGGCGTGTGCGGATGCCGAAATTGCCGCCACAACGATGCCGAGAGGAGTGAGCGACTTGCGGGCCCAGGCTCGATAGACGAGACCCGAGACAAGGGGGATTCCAATATAGGGCTTCATAGCTTGCGAAGTTGTGAGGTCGAGATGTCAAGACGTCGAGATCGGAGCTTACGTGGGGCCGAAATAAGCATCATCACATGACTATCAAAACAACCACCTGCAACCTTGGAAGGCCATTGAAGCACAACAATACATATGATATTGGAGATCTGAAAGAGCTAATAGGGAGATGATTCCAGTTTCCGAGGTCGTCCAACTCATCCTGAGGGCAGTCTGAGCTAACACAGAAAGCACAAGTCTGATTAATCTCTAAGCAGACCCCCAAAATGCATCTATGGCTTAGCCTTGCAAGAAGCCAAGCTGCTGATCCATCACGCTTCGCACCATATCTTCCCAAGATCGCCATTTGATTCCAAGCTCAACTTCCGCTCTGGTGGTGTCTGTGGGGAAGGCAGGAGTACTTTCAACATCCTCTGTGATCTTGGCGCCAACATTGGGGTAAGCCTGGAGTGCAATGCGAGCAATATCCTTCCAAGTGGTTCGCGGCGCGGCAAGCAGATACTTAGAGCCATCCTTGATCTTCGGGTTCAGGGCCTTGACGTGGGCTTCGGCAACATCTTGGATGTGCACTCCTGAGACTCCACCCGAAATAGCACCTGCCATCACACCACCCCAAAGAATGCCATTGGAACCTGTTTGGACTTCTTCGGCGGAGCTCTGCATGATATTGGTTCCGAACACAAAAGCGGGATGGATGGTGACCAGCGCGTAATGCGGCTTTGCGGCCTCCCGGAACTCCCAGGTGGCTTTGTTTGCAAGCAATTTGGACGCTCGGTATAGAGTCATTGGTGTCGCACCAGGGTTACTGGGATCAACAAAATTCCCCTTGGGATCCACGTTGAAATCCCAATCATTATCCTCTGGTTGCGATGTCAGTATGTCTCCTTTGGTCATTCAAGTATCCACGCTACCTTTGATGATGCCGCCCTCGGGCAGGCCCGTGATAGGGATCAAGGAAGCGATCGACGAAGTGATCACAACCTTCTTAATGCTTGGCACTGTGGCCGCCTCGTCGAGCAAGGCCAAGGTCCCTTGCACCGCCGGAGTGAAGATAGCATTCTGGTCTGTGCCACGGGCAAGGGGCGATGCAAGATGCAGGACAAAGTCCACTCCAACAAGCTTGCCCCGGAACGCATCTTTACTGGTCAAGTCTGGGATGGTGACGAAATCCAGCTGATCATGATATTCTGCTAACACATCTTCCAGCTTCTCTGATATTTTGCGGACGCCAATTCGAAGACGATATCCTGCCTTGAGAGCTTCAAGAGCAGTGGCGCTGCCGATGAAACCGGTAGCACCGGTGATGAAGACGAGGGGGGCGGACATAGTTTGGTATGAAGGCGATGATAGTGGAGATGCAGAGTCCAACATAGTGAAGATCCGCTGATTTATATACGTGTGTTGATTGCTATTTGGTATGTTTGCCCCCAATGAATCCTTCCAAGGTTACCCTTACGCATTTGTCATCATCGTTCTCAGAGTCAACACCGCGGTTCACGCCTCTAATTGTTCATCACTAGATCGGTCACAGTCCATCCGACCCCGAGCCCGGCTTCATTAGTGGAGCCGAAGGCAAATGGAATGTTGAATAATCAACTTAGCGGCCCCGGGGATGATCTCCTCACAACATCGGGGGAGATAACTCATCACTCAATTCCGAGAATTCTTGACTCGATCCCAAGGGCTGTAATAAGGGAAAATGGAATTTATCAGCTATATTGAAAATTGTACCACTCTTGGAAGTTCCGATAGAACCACATTGTATTTCAGGTATATCTAGTAGACACTGTCCCTCGAAATCTGAGTCCCTTCATCCAGATCCTGTTCATCATGTCTGTTTTAAGTGATTCAGTCAAGCTACCTTGTGGCTTGGTCTTCCCCAACCGACTGTCCAAGGTATGACGAGGAGACAGGAGACACTTCCTGGGCAAACACTGACTCTGACCCAGGCCGCAATGGCCGAGAACATGGCGAAAACAAACAGTCCCAATGAAGACTTTAACGAGGCATACAACAAGTGGAGCGCGGGCGGATGGGGCATGATCATGACCGGAAATGTGCAAGTCGACATCGATCACCTTGGAAACTTCATGGACCCTGCCTTTCAAGGCGAAAACGCGACCTCTAAGGAGATTCATATGGAGTCGTGGAAGAAATATGCTGCCGCCAGTCAAAAGCATGGCTCGCCCACCATTGTTCAAATATCCCATCCGGGGAAACAATCCCTTCGGGGCGCAGGGCGCAGAGGCCTTTTGACTTCTACGATAGCACCAAGCGCAATCCCATTGACACTAGGCACTGGCCTCTTGGATTCGGCCGTGACGTCTCTTGCATTTCCCAAGCCACGGGAAATGACACCGAAGGATATCGAGAGAGTCATTCGTCTTTTTGTAGATACGGCCCGTATGGTGGCGGACAGTGGGTTTTCAGGCATTGAGCTACACGCAGCTCATGGGTATCTCCTAGGTAAGGACACATCTGTTCCAATACTCTGCACGCATTTGCTCATCTCTTGCATAGATCAATTCATGAACGCCAAGGTATGTGGAACGGATGCTTTGTCGCACGTATACTGATCTCCCACAGTCCAACCATCGCACAGATGCCTACGGAGGATCTCCAGAGAAACGCGCAAGGCTGCTGCTGGAAATTCTACAGGGATGCCGAGAAGTTGTCCCGAAAGGCTTTTGCATCGGCGTCAAAATGAACTCCGCGGACCACGGAGCTGCCAACTTGGAGGACACGATGTCCCAGATAGGTCTGCTGGTCGCGGCAGGCATTGACTTCCTCGAAATCAGCGGTGGCACTTATGAGAACCCACGAGTAAGGAAATATGTCTCTACATGCACTCATATCTAGTGGTCACTAATGTGCTCGGTCTTGTTGCATAGATGGTCGAGGGTGATAAATCACAGACAGTCAAGAAGAGTGCACGAACCGCCGCTCGCGAAGCCTTCTTCCTTGACTTTGCCAAAGAGACTCGCAACCAATACCCAAATCTCGTTCTCATGTTGACCGGTGGCTTTCGCAGTCGTTCCGGTGCAGAAGCAGCGATCAAAGAGAACGCTTGTGACATAGTTGGTATGGCGCGTCCGGCGGCCATCAATCCCAGCTTCCCGCAGGTACTTTTAGATGAAAGCATCCCAGACGAGGATGCGCAGATCTCGCTGAGTCGGGTTCGACCTGGTTTCCTTGCGACGCTGCTTCGCAGTCAAGTTTTAGGAGCCGGTGCTGAGACTGTAAGTTCTTTGCGCGCCGCTCTGCTTCAACACCGTTCACTTTGCACGCGCTAATTGCAACATCAGACCTTTTATGCAGACCAGATTCAGCGAATGGCAAAGGGGAAGGCGACATTTGCACCTGTTTCTGTGTGAAATCAACGGGGATTCTGTTGATCGTTACGAATCATCTAACTCAAACTTGAGAGTTTGATTACTATATAGAATGCTTGCATTGTAGGAATGATACTTAATACTGCTTTATTCTAAACCCCATATAAGATTGTTCTTGGGCCAGGGAAGAACCTTGCAATGCTGAACTACAGAGAACACTTGTCCCAGTCCCTATACTAGTCCTTATTCATGCAGGGTACAGGGTCGGACCTCGAATACATTTATCTCTTCTCCTAACCACAGCTCGAAGGTAACCTTGAGAAATATCTGCTTGAACTGCAATGTTCCAAAGAAATGAAACCAAAGGAACCCAGAGCAGATAATGCGAAAGAAAACAGCAAGAAAAAGACCGGAGTGTCAACTTATGTACAGTGCCGAAGAAGAGAGAAAGAAAAAAGAAGAAAAAAAGCAGGCCTGAAATGGTCAGAGAACAAGAACAGTGGCCGCTCACTGAAAGATGAGAGAAGAGCGAAAGGAAGCTGGGCTCTTTTCCGACGACGACGATGGCGATGGCAAAATGTTCTAGGAAACCCCCCTACTCTATGAAATCTGATTGATGCATTATTCCGAGATCATATTACCATAAATTTATTGTTCTATCTAGCTTTCTGATAGTACAGAAGGCTTGAATAGACAAGAGCCACCACGGGCTTTGGATAAAGACATAAGTTTCATTCTTCTCATCCGCATCGAGACCTGGACGTGAATCATTTCGAAGTAAATACCTTGGAAAAGCGCAAAGCCTCTTCCACATCATCGCGTCGAAACCCAGGCGTCCGACCCAAGCACACTCCTCTGCTAACCAAAGCTATCGATGTTAGAATGAGTCAATCAAAAATCGTCGGTGAACATACCCGATATGAAGCGTGACACGTCGATGCAGGTCTGCGATTCCGAGGATTTCATTGACTCTCCAGCCGACGAAACAAGCAACACATTCTGATCTCGAAGATATCCCTCCAGATCTCGCAAGTCGAACCACTCTCCTGCCAGCTGCTGTTTTAAATCCCCCGTAACCAGTGCCAAGGGTTCTTCCACGATGCCACTCTCGTAATGGAAGGTCGAGGATTCGGTGCTGGGATAGTGAGTCCCTGCACCCCCCAGCCTGAAGAAGGGGACTCCATCCCACCCCTCAACTGGCTTATGGCTTAATTGGGAGTTCAATTCCTCCGTGAAGTGGGTTGTCAGGCGTTCCCGGCTCATCATACTGAAAACAAGCCCAAAGGGCCGTTGGAGCCGATCCAAACCGATAGATGGATCGCGCAGAGCGAGATAGCCCTGGTAAAGAGCTACTACTATTAGCCTTTGAATAAATGCGGTCACTCCTATGATTGAAATTCCTGGCCTGTTCGCATTTGATAGGATAGCCTGGCCAGGGGGCAATGATCCAGTGCCATCCAGTGGCCGGGGGATGTTCAGTGGCGGGCGCTTGAATGAGAGCTGCTGCGAGGCTGGCGGTTCAAGCGGAATATGAGAATCATCGTCACTTACCCCGGTGTCGGTAATTTTGGCCGCCAGGGTAATGAATGTTTTCAGGGTGTCTCGTAAATTCCCAGCTAGAGCATTTTGCGGACCGAGTATCCCGCTTTGGACCAGCTGCTCACTGAATGATAGCATAGAAGAGCTCAATCTTTTAATTGAGGTCTCCAGCAGGGATATGCGGTTTTTGAGGCCGTCGGCGGTGGCTTGCTGTCGTGAACGATATGCACGCTGTGCCATGCGAGCTTGCATGCGACGACGCTGTTCCAAGAGTAGTTCGGTTTCAGTTCTCTCACCAGAGATCGAACCCCGTGTTACGGACCTCTTTGTAATTTTCTTTGTCACCAACTTGTGCGCGACAGTCTTTGGCTGGCGCGGCCTTGAGTCCACGTCGCTGGCTTTTTCGTGGCCGTGATGTTATGGGCTCAGAAAGGCTTTGATTCTCCGTTCGATTGGAGGACGCGACACGAAGGGCGGTGTCGAGACTTGATGTACTATGATCATTTGAATTGTATGATTCGGGCAGGAGATAGGAGCGAGTCGAGAGCAATGAGTTGATATTAGACGGCACTGGGCCAGTTTGATGGAATCCACCCCAACCAGAGATAGGCAGGTGAGCCATTCCGTCCATGATTGAATATTGTGACGGATAATGTCTGAGGCTGGGCATCGTTGAATGTGATTCTTGTGCTGATCGGATGAATAGTTGCGCAGACGGCTAAACTTCGGCGTTGATCACTCATCACTCCGAGACCTCAATATGTCGGGATCCTTGGCTACTTCTTCGCAATTTCTGTGCTAGTGATAGTCTCTTGCATAGCTCGAGGGGCAATCGATCTCAAGAGTTCTCAAAAAACACTCTGTGTGTAAAAATACGGTTTGAATCCATCATATGAAGATCCCAAAATGCCGAGTACGTGGAACTACCAAAACGCTGTCAGCTACTGCCTCTCACCAATACCGGAGACTGTGTTCGTAAATTCAATATGCAAAGGGTATGTGCCGAGTAAGAATATAGACAGGATCTTGCACGCCTTTGTGCTCCGCGGGGGTATGTCCAAAACCAGAAAGTAGTATACAAGTTAACAAAAAAAAGGAGAACCTCCAAAAGCGAGATACCGAGGCCTCAACTCTAGAGCGCAAGGCCACTGCCATCACCACTCCATCGATAGAGAGCCAGTACTTCGCGCCGACGTTGCTGTTGCTCGCCAAAGTCTTCGGGTACACGGCCGCGCACCTGAGCCAGAGCCGAGCGCATCACCTTTCGGAAGGTTCGCTAGAAGAAGTCAGTACTGGGAGGCATGAGGAGATGGCAAGATCCATACCTGGTATTCGGTGTTCAAAGTCACGACGCAAGCCTCGTGGGCGCGCACTATGGTTTCGCACGCCCGAACAACACTCGGACTGGCGTCGCCTTGGAGTTTATCGGCGGTGAGAAGGAGCAAGAAGCTACCCTGGAGAAGGTATATGCCAAAGAAGAATGGCATGAAGCTTAGATCGGGGTCGTATTCGAGGATGTCCGAGGCAGCTTCGGCGGCGCTGACTGCGTGGCCCATGGCGGAGATGAAGGACTCGGATGAGATCCAGAGATCGTTGTCGTCGAGTAAATTGATTGGATCCCACTTGCCAGCGAGGAGAATATGAAGAACATGCATGATATGTGTTCCGTATGCAACGACCATTTTCGTGTGAACGATAGACTCGCTCACGTGAGATCCGACGGTGCTACTTGATCGACCGGAGGGGCTCATGTGGTTGATGCTCGAGCTTTCCATCGCTGTGTCGGGCTCAGCAGTTCCCAGGGCCAACGAGCTGGTATATCTGGCTTCGAACTCTTTCAAGCTCTGCGCGTAGACGTCCAGCTGCCGACTGATCTCCATTGCCTGGCTTTCCCATTCCCCGCTGTTACGGAAGTGAAGACCGAAGCGCGGGTGATTTCGGGCGTGTTGAAGATCGACAATCTCACCGAGAATAGACATAAGAGGGAGGAAGTAGCCGAACATGCTGTGCCCGGTGCATTCGAATGACGGGCCGGCGCGGCGGTAGCCCATGGATGAAAAGTCACCAGCCTGCCAGATGTCATCGTTGATCGGTTGGAGGAGACCTTCACATTCTTTGTCCAGGAGAGTCAATGGACGGTTATAGCAAAGTGCCAGATGGCGGTCCGTTGCATATAATAACCACCATATTCGTCGGCGCTCCTCGCGCTCTTCTTCAGTGAGGTTGACCGTGGAGTTGCCTGGACCGTGGCCCATCAGCGATGGAGCCGGCCTCTTGTTTCCATTGACGTCGATATCTCCATCGCCATCCATGTCACCATCTTGGCGAGTCACCGCATTAGGGGGCAACTCGCGGCCCAGCTTGAGCTCCCTTGCAAGAGACCAGGCCGCTGTCCACCAGCGCATGCTCGCAGCTTTGTATTCACTGGCGGAAACAACAGTTGCCAGATGTACGTATGTCGCAACGTCATCCACTGCACCAGTCGCACTGCTCTGAGCACCCAATTGATCCATCGAAACACCGAAACCGCCAAGAGCGACGCCGTTAATGACCATGTTAGCCGGATAGTTAGGCGAAGCTTCGCCAGTAGCAGGCCCATGAATAAGCGGCCGTAGTAAACCTATCGTCAGCTCCAATAGCTTTTGGCAGACCCGGCCACGAGCCGAGGGAGGCGATGTCAAGAAAGCGGCTTCGCTAGTTTGAGCAGCGACCCACAGCATACTGGCCAGAAGCCCGGGGCTGCATGATCGAGGCTTCGTAGGGTGAAGGAAGGACTGTTTGCGGAACACATATCCAACCACATATGGCGAGGATGGTGAAAGGCGGGAGGAAGAAGAGCTAGTGAAGTAGACGTCAAGGAGATCACAGGCGAGGGATTGGGGGATTATAGACACGATATGCGGGAGAACTGGTTGCAGTACAGGGTATCTCAAAGAAGTGGAGAAAGGGGGCATGCTGTAAGAGGGAAAGTTGGCTGGAGATGGTGACGGCAGTGGAAGCCAGCTTGGTGACTGAGCTGGTGAGAAGCCCATGAACGAGGCTGATGGATTTTCTGCGGAATTGCCAATGCGAAAATGGCCCATAGGATTTGAATTTGCATCCTGCGCATTCATCAAAGGATACGAGCTCTCGTGATAGCCCGGTGCAAAGCCTTGCGACTGCAGCATTGATCCAGGCGATCGAGGAATTCCGTTTGAGCTTTGCATCATCTGTATAGAACGTATGTCTGGGACTGACATAGGGGGCCGATGGGGTTCTTGAACGGATGCATAATTGTTGAAGGGCAACCCCACCATGCTCGTAGATCCCATTTGCTGCTGGGAAGCTTGGGCAGATGTCTGATTTGGACGCATCGTAGATAATCCATCTACCTCGTGCGACCGGGCCTGAGCCCCCTCTGCCAAAGTGCGCGCGGCATCAAAAGCAGGGTCGTAGTGTTCGTTGGATTCATGCAGGACCTGCCCGCTGGATGAGGCTGCTACAGTCCGTGGCAAATTATCATTAAGACCAACGTCACTCTCATTGCTGCCCGCTGCGGCTATATCCTTTTTCGACGCTTTGCCGCGCTTCTTGCGCTCGCGGGCGTACTCGCAGCTAAGCCCGAATTCTGAGACAAATTAATTGACTTGCACCCGTGGAAAAATTAATCGAACCGGAAAAATCATACCAACACAATGTGCGCATGGATTCTGCCCGTCGCATTTGGTGCGCAGTTGGTTGCACTGGTCGCAGGCCCGGCTAATTCTCCGGCGAACTGGCGTTGCAGTTGAATTCTTGCGAATAACAGATCGCGCCTCCGCCAGTGAGTCGCGCGGCTGTAGATCCTTCAAACTGGATCCTGGGTTATGTTGTTCGCTGTAGAGCAGATGCTGGGTGTGTCGCGATGGCTTGGAATCAGCCAGAGAAGTAGCGTCGATCGGGGCTTTCGTAGTGGCACCGGCTTCCCGTGCCAACTGAAGCTGTTCTAACGCATATTGGGACCCCTCTGCCAGCGTATCTAACCCGGGGGTCTGAGATTGTGTCATTCGTTTGGATTGCGGCGAACGTAAGGAGCGTTTAGCGAAGGAACGGGGGGAGGTCATTAACCGAGGCGAATGACATGTAGAATCTTTATCAAGATGGCGAAACCAGTCAGAGTGGCATTGCAAGTTAGCAAAAGCGCAAAAAGCAAAAGGAGATGCAAGTCGAAGATCGGGTGAAGATCTGGGGAAGTTGGCAAGGCGGGGAGCGGCACGTGTGACCTTGGCTCCTGCCCTAAGTCTTCAGTCTGTATACACACACTCGACTGCACTCGACTCGACTGGCATTTGGACTATGTCCCCTGTAAAGATACGTCTCTCCACACTTTACTTGCAAGCTACCTAGGTACGGGCACAAAGCGGCTGTTTTCTGCATTCTGCCTAAATGCACTGGACCCTGGCCCGGGTATTTGGTTAAAGTCCTGATGGAGTACGGAGTACATGAAAGGTCAATGGAGTATAAAAGACAAGTCTTCAGATTCGTATATCGCTATATGCATGATTATTCTTTTTTGGGTTTCCCAATAAACTCGCCATGAAAAAAAAAAAATATGTAGTGTACAATGCAGAAAAATATACAGGGGGGAAATTACAAGTCGGCTAAAATGTGCCAGGTTTATACAAAACCCAGACATTGCCGAACAAAAGAATATATGCAGTAACGCCAGCGAAATGCAGTGAGTATTCCCTCGGATGGACGCGAGAGCTCAAGAGAAGAAGTATTCACTCTGGCGAATGCGGGTCACATCCCAGTCTCCCTTTTGGGGGACCTCGCGGAAGTTCAAAGGCAGCCACAGCCAGGTGGTCATCATACGAGGGCCTTTAGACTTGGGCTTCGAGTCGCCGACTTCCATTTCGTCACAGTCATCGGCTTCTTGGGAGGAGATTTTGCCCTCAAAGAGATCGACATCACCGACGAGGGATTGGATGGCCGGATCGGTGGGGTCCAGGTCAATTGACGGGAGGAGGGTTGAGCTGTTGATATTGATGTCCTCGGGGATGTGACCGATGTTGTTCTGACCTAGGGTTTTGAAAATCGTCAGATCTTCGTCTCTGCCATCCATGTCCTCGAAAATGCTGGCCGGGGTGACCATGGCTTGGCCTTCCCGCCGATCATCCGGGTCTTCAGAATTGAGAAGGCTTTGACGCTGCTTCTCTTGGATCAACTCCTGAAGCTTGGTGTTTTTGGAGGTGTTTCGGTATGTAGCGATTGCTTTACCGAACTTTCCATTGCGAGGGACCCGGGCAAGGAAGAAGTTCTTGCCATATCGTACTCGGAACTCAGCGGCAAGACGCCCGACAACGTCATCCGAATGCATGCGAACGAACGAATCACGAATGATGAGATTCATCTGGTCAACATCCGCGGCGTGAGTCCAGAAAGAATCGTGGACGGCGGAGAAGGTCATGCCCGCTTCACGGCACGCATTGGCAGACAAGATCATATGAGTGGCATCGAGGGAGTGAATGAAGTTGGGCGGGAAAGCTTGGAGTTGCTTGCGCTTCTGAATGACATCATCAACGCCGGGATCAAGGATGTTGATGTCTTGCATGCTAGTTTGAACACGGCGGGCTCGGCGAGTCCGGTAGGGCTGAACCACCGGGAGACCGAGTGGAGTGGTCCAGATCACGGTTGACTTGAAAGACTTCTCTGGGTCAGCAGACATGCTGGTAGAGGCACCCGACTTCGGTTGCATGGCCTGTTCAGTAAGTTCGTCAACTTGCTGCGGAGTGAGGGATTGCGTGATGCGATAAGCACAGTCGCCGAACCAATACTGAATTTCGTGAGCTCCATTGAACATCGTTCCGAGAGCACCGAAAATCTTTCGGGCGACATAAACAGCGGCTTGAGTCCGTTGTGCGGGGGTCAATTCGGGGATGTATTCCACAAGCTGCCGCTTGACTTGACGGGTCGCTCCCAAGAAGGTCACACCGTATACATTGGTCATGACGGTCTGCTTGACGATCTTTCTGGTGACTCTGCCGTTCAAAAGAACGGCAAGTTCAAGGCCATTGGCAGCATCTTCCGCAATGTCGGCCTTGACAAATTCGCAAACACCAGTGTAAACGTCGGAGGGACGATCAGAGGGCTCCAGATTGACCTGCTCGGCGCCAGCCTTGTCTCCACCAAGGGCCGCGTAATGTTGAAGACCGTTACACGAACCATCCTGGTGAATTGGAAGGTGAGACACATACTGAGTAGGGTCGGGCAAAAGCAAAGCATTGCGGAGTTCACAACAGGCTGCGAGAAGCTGCCATGGGTCTTCACCTTGAAGCCACCATCGCTGTCCGTGTAAACCTTTGTTTGCAGAATCAAGGACAGCGTCGAGGTTGTCCATAGTGAACTGTTCTCTTTCGGACATGCTTGCCTTGTCAAACCCATACAAGTTGGCAAGGTGGATCTTCAACCAACGCAGACCCGCGGTGCCAAGAGGCCTTCCTTCGTCGAAGAGAAGTAGACCTCTGGAGTTGTCGGCACCCATTTGGTTGAGATAGGGAGGAAGCGGATAGGCTCGTCCACGGAAATCCATGTTGTGAGGCAGGTAGAACGTTTGCTTCCGGAAGGCTCGCGCGACTTCCATCTGGAAGTTTTGGAAACATCGCACCGAGTGGAAACCGGAACGAAGGTTCTCAATCTCGCGCATTTTCCGTGAGTATGCAGACTGTTGAGCATAGGTTGCATCCGGGGCAGGTGGTTCAGGGGTGGGCAGATTTAGATCCACGGGGGCAAGTTTTCCAATCGCATCTCCCGCATTCCAGGCCTCTAACATGACGTCGAAAACGGGTTGATTGATCTTCCAGCCAGTAGAACTTAGAACATCAAGCCCAGATCGTACCTCTTTCAACCCATCATTTTTGAGGACGGCCTTGAGATAAGCTGGCTGAAGGAGTTCACCAGGAGTCGAGCGCACAATGCTGTTTTCATAAAGGAGGTAGCCGCCAGACCTGACCCCCGTCCACGGTTTAGGTGTCGTGAGCATAGGCAAATGGCGGGCCACTACCTCAGGGAGCGGCTCTTTACTGACCATTTCGACCAGAGCAGAGTTCATGTGGATGAGTCCAGTGCGTTTTCCATAGTGCATCGAGTAGGCATGGGAGAAAGCTGGTTGGCTGACGAAGGTTGTCTTTTTGGTGCTCGGGTCGACCGCGGGAAGAGAAACCTTGGCTTCCTCCAATAACATGGCCATGAGGACACTACCGACCCTGACTGTGACACGGGAGCCCCACAAAATAGATTGATCTTCAGTAGCCATCTTCTCAACGAGGGCATTCCACCGAGGACGACCATCCTTGTCTTTGCGGTTTGCGAGAAGCTCTTTCACAGCCTTGAGGCGGTTTGGGTTCGTGATTTTGGTTTTTTGCAAATGCGAATCGGCGATGATCTCGTCTTGCACCTCCTTTCCAAGGCCAGAGGCAACGTTGGAAAGCTTGAGTCCTTTCGACATTCCTTGTCGACTGAAGATACCCAAAACACCCAAGACGGCAATTGCAGCAAGTCGATCCGGATCAAGCGCTTTCAGAAAGACACCATATTCACAGCGATCCTTTTGTTCAATGCTAGTGATTGGGTTCAGCAAGTCCTGTTCGTACATCTCGACTTCTTTTTTGATCCTGGGTACGAGGTCTGTGTGCCATTGACCCATCAGATTGCTGAGCTTCTTTCCATCGGACTCGACGGTCGCGCCAGCTTTTTGTCGCTGCTCTTGATCTTGGCGCCACCGGTTGATGGCGGAGTCGAGACTATCGGTTTCAAGCTGACGCTGTTTCATCTCTGAAAGGAGAGCCTTGGCCTCCTCCTCAGTGCCGCTGAAGTTAGCAGGCAACGAGATCTCTTTACCGAAGGAAGCCAAGGACTTCCTAAGAGACGACAGTCCATGCCCCTTCAGATTGGCAGCCATTACCTGGGGAGTGTCATCATCGATAGTGGGTTCGATGGGCTGGGCGTTGTCGAGCTCTGAGAGATCCAAATATTTGGAAATGAGATCCAACATATCGGAAGAGCAGATCTGGAAGTTGGGAATCAGCATTTGCCCGGTCATGGAAAGCCAAGACTCGAACTCACCTTGGACAATTCACCAACATCGGAGTCTTCAAGGATCTCCAAACCAACGATTTCTTCTTCCAGTCCGGCAGTTTGGGCAAGTTCCCAATAACGACGTACGGCTCGGTCTCGCTGAGCTCCGTGAAGCATTCGCAGTGACATGCGAATCATGCATGCAAAAGTTTTCGCATCCGGTACGACCTCGGAAGAGCGCATGTCAACCTCGAACCATTTCTGCACTGGGAGTACCATTGACGGGTCGCGTGTAATGATCATATGTTGCACCATGGCGCTCAAGAAACGGTTGTGCAGAGCTAAGTACTCCAGCGAGCCAGGTGGATGATAATGGCCAAGACGCGTGATCAACCCAGAGGCTCTTTCATATTGTCCAATTTTTAATGACATGTCCAAATTGGCCATCATCTCAGTCTCATCACCGCCGATGCCGTGCCTCCGGCGGAAGATCTTCGAGTGGGATTGTGGTGCCGAGTCAATAATAACGAGAGAAGAAAGATCTTTACTCTCGAATGGCATGTTCATGAACTGGTCGTATGAGTCCGCGGGCTGGGCGTCAATCGATGATGGGTCTGCAGCAGTCGCGAGGTGGCGCTCTGATTGCAAAGAAGGCTTGCGCGCGCGGTCGAGCAGGGCATGACTTGATGAGTTCACCAAAGGGGTCCGATTACTTGAGTATGAGTGAAGGTAGGTCGTAGGCAAGGAGACCGATGCCCGAAGAGCCTGAGCTCTGCGCGGGAGAAGGAATGCATGTTTTGAGCGAGCCACACGCGACAGCATGGCGCATGGATATGTGCTTCGATTCCGAGGATCGAAGGATATAATGTGAAAGATTGTTCTGGTCACAGGTGCTTCGTATGGATGGGAGGAGATATTAGATGATCAAGTCCAGACTTGTTAGGAGAGCGTAAAAAACGTAGATAATAAAAACACCGCGATGATAAAGATAGGTGATAAGAACGCGATATTGCCGCTGGATGAAGCAAGTAGTCGCGTCCGCCAGTCAACCCTTCCAACGAAAAAGAAAAGGGAAACGGAAAAAACACCGAGAAAGGAGAATGTCGACCTGTACGAAGCGGAGATCGGGGGAGAAAAACCGAAACTGGGCACGTGACCCATCTTATCGTGATTGGCGGATCAGCTCTACTGCAGTGGCAAAGTCTTCAGCTAACCTGTCCAATTGGATGTGTTCAGAGGTACTCCATACATGGTGTTTTTGTGATAGAAAAAGAATGGAGATTCTACGTCCAATCCATGTGGAGTGGATCATTCGTTTGTATATTTTCATTGCCCAGGTGAGGAACACACTGGGAATGTCTCTGCATGGTTATAGTTAGGTATACTAGTAGAGCTAGTAATGTTTCAGGAGCTACAGAGTAAATGTCGGGCGAATCATTAGAACATCGTTTGAATTCATGCACATGAGGTAGGTATCATTGGTCTCCATTTTGTCCTTGGGCTTCTCTCTGCCTCCGTCGATTCTCTTTCATTGCCCAGCCTGTCAGATCAGGACGTGCCGGATCAATTCTGGGAGCGCTCATTTTATCAAGATACTCTTCCGAGTCGATATTGGCTTCCAGGGACTGAGGTTCCCCCTCCTCCGGGTGAAGCATGAAGCTTTCGTATGTGTACCATGAGTCCTCCGTCTATAGCCAAAGGTCAGTAAGCTGTTTTCAGAAGCTATGAGACCACGGGGACATACCTCAGCATCAACCCAGCCATATGTTTTCCACTTTTCTTCTTGCATTTGCTTCAGAATATCCAAATTACCTCCGACATGGGTGGTTTCGCCATCTTCGGCAGCTTTGACCTTCATATCGATTGCGCGTGCCTCGGTCTCTGGGACAGGACGCTCGTCGTCATCCTTTTTGCCGCGGCCCTTGGCCTTTGGCATTTCATCTAGCGCATCCAAATGGTGAAGCTGAGGGTGGAATTGGATGACCGAGGAAATGGGGGAGAGGTGCAAGTTTTCTGCACATCGCGGTTAGCATAGTGCGTTGATAGCAAGCCTTGTGGGCATCTGCGCATGTGGAACATACTATCTTTGAATGTTCCCAGCATATAGACTGGGTCTCCTTCCTCTGCGGGCTTTACTCGACCAGCAAGTGCCTGCGTTCGCATCAAGGCATTCGAATCCACTACCCTCTTATTGTCCAAAATTTCCACGTCGCCGTTGGCATCTGTTTTCATTCTTCCTCCGGTGCCGACAGCACCGCTTCCAGCGGTAAAGCCGCCGGACATTCCATAGGAGCCACCGTCCCGTGCAGACCGGCTCTTCTTGACTGCTTCGCCGAAGCGCATGCCTTTATTCACGTCATAGTTTGACCGGGTGCTGATGGGGACCTCGACTTCGACGAGCCCAGTATTGGGCTTCATCTTCAGCGAAATCGGACATTGGTTGTTGCTTTCATTGTAGGGGAGGTCGACATGTCGATCAAGATACTGGAAGACATAGCGCGAGACATCCGAGTCCGTGAGGAAGACGTCGTAGGAGGCCACAACGGGGTCGTCTTCGGTGTCGGACATAGCGGGAGATTAGCCGGCGAGTGTGAAATAGCGGTCGGTGAAATGCAACAGATCAATTGCAGTCGATCCGTATGCAAGTGCAGGTCGACTGGTCAACTTTTTTTCGAACTTCACAGGTGGGGCCTGATAGTTGATTAGTCACCGCCCCTTGCGCAACGAGTATATAAGTCTCCTTTCCACCTCCGAGATCTTCTTCTTCTTTTTTTTGGGGACTTTCGATTTGTGCTAGGGAAGTGACATCGAGAGGTGCTCTGATCCCCCCTCCTCTAAGGCACAAGTCACTCCTGATGTCGAGGCCCAGCCTCCGTCAGCCTTCCTAGCGTGAGAGACGCACCCGCTCAAACTCTTCCTTTCTTTACATTGAAGTCATTTCCAACTTTCATCCTCCTCTCCACCATGCGCCTGCGCAATCCAAACCAACCCTCTCTGTAACGGTCTTGAGTTGCAGACAGAAGAGCCAGGAATCGAGACAGAGCTCGTATCCTGATGAAATCGCTGTATACCCCAATGGTACACAGCCACGACAGCCCCTCGGGCACATGACTACGACCAGAAAAGAATGCTGGCCTCAAGTCAATCGACATGGGGACGCCATTGCCCAATCGGGCAGGCGCAATGGGTCCCAAAGTGACATCCAAGTCACGATGAACGACTGGTCCACTGAGACCACAATGGAATTAGGCGAAGATCAGACGTCTACGCAATGGGAAAATCCGCTATTTTGATGATGGCGGTGTGCTCACAAGAGCATCATACATTTGGGTCAAATGGGATTGAACGATGCTCAGGTGGCATGTCTGGCTGGGGAGGCTGGAGGTGTGGTGTGATTTTGATTGATGGAAATGGTCGAGTTTGAGTATTTAAACCAGCTAGACTTCTCTCAGGGCTCTTGGGCTCTGCTTGCCAATATAAGGGTTGTTTGGTTAAATTCTTGCTAGGTACTCCGTTCTAGGCCGTGAATAAATAACGCGTACTCCGTAGTGTACCTCGTAACTATAGCACGGAGACGGGCGGATGACTTCGAGGGTTTTGACTATCATGGATAAGACGTGTCACTTAGGTCTGTCAAGGTCGGGCCTGATTCCTCAGCTCTGATCCTACTCTTGATTGGGACAATTTGAACAAGGCATGATACGGAGCAAAGAGCGCAAGGTGAACACTGAATCAAGCCAACCAGTCTTCATTTTGAACAAATCCAGGTCCTCGTTCATTCTAAGTTCAAACAGCAACCCCAACTCCCACTATACAAATCCTCCAAACATCATATGAGACAGAATTATTTGCAAGGGTATTAATAGCCCATTCTGCAGCCCACTCCCTACGTGATAGGTCATAGGGTAAGCGCAGCATGGCAGAGGTAAACGAACCCTATCCAGCCATCGACTTCTGCAGAAGATGAGTCTTGTGTAACACCCTCAAGGATCCCCACTCACCTCTCTCTTTCATATCTGAGTATTCGGCCTCGATTCGATGCACGGATGCTCTCCGCTTGGATTTTCTGCATGGCCGTCAATTCCCTGATCGGAAGAGCCGGACCTCGACATACCTTGCGTGGCGTCGGCTCCAGAGTAACGGGCCCAGGAGGCAACCTGCAGTGAGGACCACGAGAAGGCTAGCAATGGCCAGCAAAAACCAGATGCTGCGATTCTCGAGTGCGTCCAGTATCGCGCTGTAGCTGGTAGTGGTGTCAGGTCAGTGGTTATGATTTTGAGGTTGTGACATACAGGTTCCCCCAAGGAGCTGGGTTCCAACTCGTCCCAAGTGTAGGGGCCATTTTTGATACGGATTGACTGTGATTTTGTCTCTGATGGCTGGGGGTCCAGAGTTTGGACTCGAGCTTGAATAGATAGGAGCTTTCAGGGCCTGTCAACAAGGCTGTAAACGCGTGGAGGAACGCTAGTTGTAAGAGCTGTCTCAGTGTGGTGAAGTGGGAAGCTTCAGCTTGAAAGGACCAAGATAAGGGCTATGAGCTTTGATGCAGAAGAGTAAAGACAGAGATGAGAGGAAGAAGAAGGGTTTAAAGAGCAGAGAAGACAAACAAGCCCAATCTATAGCATCCCGATTGGGAAAGAGCTGTATATCTGCATGGCTGTGGTGGAATTTGACCACGTCGCATACTGAGTATCTTTCCATTCACTGAACCCTGATTATACTGCAGAATCACCCTCGAAACGCACACAAGGAACCTCACTGTCGTCCGAAGCCCCAAGGACCTGGGTCAAAAACGTCCCCGCCTTCACAGCACACTGATCAGCATCTTTCTTAAAATCCAAGATCCAAGCAACCATCAGAATGTCATGCGGCAAGAGATCCTGCACAAAGAACTCCACTCTCTGCTCATTCTGCTGCACCTTCGCCAAATGCCTCACGAGCCGATCATGCTCCTGGCACATAACCTCCCGACCACCGGAGACAACCAACACCGAAGAAGGAAGCACGAACGGGTGCCAAATCGGCGCCAGATACGGCTCCATCTCCCGCGTGATCTCCATATTCCCGATCGTGTGCTTGGCACCCCACGCTGGAAACGAGGGGGGAATGTAATCGGTCTTCGCGTTGGGGATATTATCCCATAGTCGCTTGTTGCGGGCACCGGGAATGTCGCACCACGGTGAGAAGAGCCAACTGCATGTGGGTGGGGGGAGGACGGCATCGTCGTTGTAGTCGGATATGTACCGGAGTAAGGCGAGGGCGAGATGGCCACCTGCGCTGTCGCCACTGATCACGATGCGGGTGGCGGGAATGTGAAGCGTGTGGATGAGGTAGGAGTACGCTGTGATGGCATCTTGCAGCTGGGCGGGGAAGCGGCAGTGCGGGTTGCAGGCGAGACGGTATTGGAGGCTGAAGACGTGGCTAGAGGGCGTGTGGTTGAGGAGGCTGTCGGCGAGGTATTTGCAGGAGGCTATGCGGCCGTCGCCTAGGATGTAGGAGCCGCCGTGGAAGTGAAGGACGATGTGCTTGTCTTGGCTGGTTGTAGTGTTGTATTGGTACAGCGAAGGGAACCAGGTGCCTCCTATTGGGACTGGTTTGATTTCCTTGTCAAGAGTGATCCCCGTGTAGAGCTCGGTCTTAGCAGGTTCGATCTGTACGAAGCGGTCTCCCTCAAGTCCTGGTTTGAGGGATAATGGTGGTTTGGTGTGCACTGCTACGAACAAGCGAAGAAACAACTTCATCCAGGTGACTAGAAGTGCTTGACGGTAGGACCAGTCATGGTCCTGGCGATAGCGGCGACGGATATAGAGGAGAGGCGCGAAGGTAGTTGATAAGAATGCCATTGTTGAGTCTTGTAGGAAGATGAGAGGCATTCAGCACTGGTGTTGCAGGTGTAACTCCCAGTGATGTCAGCCCTACATCAACTTCGCCAGCGCCCCCTGGTCATTCCATGGAACTTGAGGATTTGGATATCTTGTGGCCATCTGGAGGCGAGACATTAAATCAATGCAAGATGGTAATGTGCCCAGCACTCCAGGGCTGACCTCGGGAGGTGAAGCTGATTCGTAAGCCACAAACAACGCGAGACCAAATATACAGAGAAAGTTGAGATTGAAGAAAATTCGAATGAAATGAAAAATGTATATCTAACTATTTTTGCAGAGGTGGAATCATGAGGCCAAAGTATCAACGCAGTGCGATGTGAGAAAACAAAAGAAGCAGAGTTGAAATTCCCGTGAGTCGTAACAGATCAGGTATTATGGTCACATAGCATTCATTCCTCATCCTCATCCTCGGCAACCTGAGAAACAGAGTTAGTATTGATATTAAACACAGGAAAAATGAGAACTTACGCCTTCGTGGAAGTTTCTTCCGTCAGTAGTAGCCTTGATGACACCGGCGCGGATACACCAATCACCGAAACGCTCGGGGGTCTCGCCGTCGGTGTCACGCTCGCGAGAGTAGCGCTTGAGAAGATCGTTCATAATCTCGAGGATTTCATCCTCCTTGATGGAAGAGCGGTAGCGCTTGTTGAGACGCTGGCCGTGGTAACCACCACCCAGGTACATGTTGTAGGCGCCGTATGCCTTTCCAACGAAGGCAACCTCGGCGAGCCAGGGACGAGCACATCCGTTGGGGCAACCGGTCATACGCATGACAATGCTGTCACGGGCAAGACCACACTCCTCAAGAGTGGTCTCCAGCTTGGAGATCAGAACGGGAAGGTAACGCTCAGACTCAGCCATGGCGAGACCACAGGTGGGGAACGCAACACAGGCGGAAGAAGACAGACGCAGGCCAGAGAAGGCAGTGTTGTCAAGCTTGTACTTGGCCAAGTGGTCCTTGACGAGGGGAAGGTCGTCATCGGTGATGCGGGAGATGATCAGGTGCTGGTTACCGGTAAGACGGAACTCACCCTTGCCGAACTCGGCGAGCTCACGGAGACCAGTGCGCATCTTGAAGTCGGCGGTATCCTCGATACGACCGTTCTCAATGAACATGGTGAAGTGGTTGAGACCGGCCTCGTCCTTCAGCCAGCCGAAGGTGTCGACGTTGGCCTTGAACTCGAAGGGACGGGGCTCGCCGAACTTCAGGCCGTCGGGCATGAGCTTCTCGACCTCAGCGCGGAAGCCCTCAACGCCCATGTCGTCGATGGTGTACTTCATACGGGCGTGCTTGCGGTTCTTACGGTCACCGTTGTCACGCTGCACAAGCATGATCTTCTCGCAGGCAATGTGGATCTGGTCGACGGGGATGTATCCGAACATGCGACCAGTCTGGGGGTAGGTCTTGGTGTTGTTGTGGGTGGAACCCATACCACCACCGGCGAGGACGTTGAAACCGGCGAGGTGGCCATCGGCACCCTTGATAGCAATGAGACCAATATCGTGGGCGTAGACATCAGTATCGTTGTGAGGAGGAATGGCAATAGTGATCTTGAACTTGCGGGGGAGGTAGGTGGCACCGTAGAGAGGCTCGTGGTCAACGATGGCATCTCCGGCAACCTGAACCTTCTTGTCGTCATCATCCTTCAGCCAGATCTCGTGGTAGGCATTGGTTGAGGGCAACAAGTGTTCACTGATCTTGGTAGAGAGGGCCCAGGTCTCGCGGTGGAAAGCGGAGAGCTCGGGAAGGGAACTACACATGACGTTGCGGTTCACATCACCGCAAGCAGCGAGGGTATCCATCATGGAAGCGTTGATGGCACGCATGGCACCCTTCAGGTTGCGCTTGATCACACCGTGGAACTGGAAGGTCTGTCGGGTGGTGAGCTTCATGGTCTCGTTACCGTGAGAGCTGCTGATAGCGTCCATCTGCAGCCACTGCTTGGGGGTGGCAACACCACCGGGGAGACGGCAGCGAATCATGAAGCTGTAGGCAGGCTCGAGGCCCTGGGCCTTGCGCTCATCACGCAGGTCACGGTCATCTTGCATGTAGGTACCGTGGAACTTGGTGAGCTGCTGGTCACTGGCGGGGATAGCACCAGTGCTCTCGTCGAGAAGGGCCTCGGCAATGGTTCCACGAAGGAAGTTGGAGCCAATCTTGATGTCTTCGTTGGTGATAGGGGCAGGCTCCTCGGGGAGACCCTCAACCTTGTCAACACCCAGGGCCTTCCAGAGACGAGGCTCCCACTCGGAGTAACCAGTCTGGTAAGCATCGGGGTCCTGGTCATCACCGAGACCGATGTCGGTCAACTTGTGACCACCCAGGAAGGCAACACGGTCATCGAGGTCCTTTCCGGGCTTGTTGTAGTAGATCTTGTCTTCCTTACGGGGCCAGTAGTGGGAGTCACCAAGACCGAAGACGGAGTAGTTGATGGTAGACAGATCGAGGTCACCTGAGTTCTTGACGTGCTCCCAGAGGGCACGACCGTTGACAGGGAATTCACCCTGGCCTGCAGTACTGGTGATGAACACAACGTTCTCCTCGGTGGGGATATCCTCAAGAGGGAACTCGTCCATGGCGAAGACCATGGTCTTCAGACCTCTGGCACGACCACGGTTGCCAAGACGCTTGGCGATGTTCTGGGCGTTACCACCGTCAGAGGCGAAGAGAATGGTCAATGGGGCACCGAACAAGCCATCCAGGAGCTTCTCGTAGGAGTCCTTGGCAGTGCGCTTCTGAACGGCACGGACCTCAGTGCCGTAGGACTCGGAGAGGACAGGGGCGTACTTGGGGGCACGGTTCATCAGTTGGGTGAGCTGGTTGTCGCGACGGAGGAACTCCTCGAGATCACGCTTGACACGCTCAGAGTCGAGGATGAACTTGGGCTCACCCTTCGCCTCGTTCTCGGGGTTCCAGCGGTACAGAGGCCAGTAACCGAGATCGATAGCCTTCTTGGTCTCTTGGAGGACAGTGAGGGCAGAGTCGTTCTCCTGGTTATAGGGAAGGTAGGCAACCACAACGGAAGGACCCTTAAACTGCTGAGCCTCGGACATGGCCTGGAGGACCTGGGTGTAGGAGCTGTAGACAGCGACGGAGGCGACGTAGGCGTTACCTCGGTTCATGGCGTAAAGACCAATGTCCTTCTTGCGACGGGTGGCGTCGGCAGCAGCACGCTCAGAGAAGGGCTGAGAGTCGATGATCAGCATGTTCACGTTAGCACCGGAGGCGAGAACGTGGTGGACACCGGAGTTGCCCAGATCGTAAGCCCAGGCATCGGAACCGACCAGCCACTCGGACTCTTCGTAGAAGAGCTTCTTGGACTTGAGGAGCTCGCGGGAGAGGGCAGAGCCATCGTTGGAGAGGCGTGAAATGACTTCAGGGGCCAGCTTGTTAGCCTTGGCGGCCTCCTTGACATTCAGGGCCCAGCGGGACAACCAAGTCTTGGGGACATCAGTGGCAAAAGTGGTGGACTTGGAGGCTTCCTCAACCTCACGAATGAAGCGCACACGGTGCTCCTGACGAGCCAAAAGAGATCCGAATCCAAATTCGGGGCTGGCAGCGATGGTGCTCGAAACGCCGGCATTCTTGGCACCAAGCTGGTTGGCGATGTGCAGACGCTCACCGAAGAGCTGGTTGAGGATCTTCAGGTAAGCGTTCTCGATGCGGGGCTGCTCGAGGGTGCTCTCAATGGTGGGAACCTGCGAGCTTCCAATCTCGAGGTTCTGGATGGGAGAGGCGGAAGTCAAGTTCTGCAGCACACCGCGAAGGGCCTGGACAGCGGTGGAGGGCTCAACAAACCCAAGGCGGTATCCAACGATCTGAGGGCCCTTGCCCTGAGGACCAGATGAGGTCAGGCTAGAAAGCAGGTCCATGAAGGATGGACCCCACTTGGTAGTCTTACGGACCTGCTCAAGGACCGCGATCTTCTCCACTGAGCTGGGGATAGAGTTGGAGATCTGGCCACCGATCCAAGGACGGTACAGGCGGGCCGTGATGAGACCAATGTTCTCCAATTCTGTGTTAGCGCCGTTGGCGAGAGCATCCACGAAGACTCCAGTGGAGCCAAAGACGAAGATGGCAGATTTGGCGTCAGCGGTACCGGTGTACTCAATGGCGTTGTATCTGCGGCCGACCTCCTGGAACAAAGTGTTCCAGATTTGAGCGGTCCACTCAAAGATGTCGGCCGCGTTCACCGGGCGGGTGCTGGAGCCCTCCACGGTTGTGGCGTTTGAGCTAGGGGTCTCACTGCCGGCACTGCTTTCCCGACGGGAAGAGCCAACGGAGGAGTTCTCCACGCTGGCATTGAAGGGAGTCTGGGGCTGCGAAGCCACGTTCAGGTCGTTTGACCCATTTTGGCCCGCGGGGGCAGAGCCCTCGGATTCTTCGGTGATGGTAGATGTGAGACCGGAGCCGGCATAGAGACCCTGGATGCCAGCGGAAGTGGCAACGTTTCCACCAATGTGAAGCACCTTCTTCACGACCTCAACGTCCTCAGTGGCGATAGAGGGATCCTTGGCCGAGTTGGCCGGATCGAAGAAGTGGATCACACCCTTTCCAGACTTGCGGGCAAGTGCGTGAGCTGTGATGGCGATATCTTGAGCTTCCTGCACAGTCTCGGAGTGCAGGAAAGTGAAGCCGGATTGCCGGATGGAGCTAATGACGGAGTAATCAGGGAAAGGAGAGGGCTCCAGCGCAACGTGGACCACCACGGGGCTGTTGGCCAGACGGTAGAGGTGAGGGACGGCCGTGATCAAGATCGAAGAGCTTGTCACGACGGAAATCGTCTCGCCATTTTGAATGGGGGTGAAGGCCGAAAGTAGAGGGTCTTCGTTATAACGCACGGATTGAACCTATGCCGTCCCGTTAGTGGAGCTCCGGTTTCGCGGTTCACCGATCCGATCCCAACTTACTTCAGTGCTTTTTGATGACAAGTTGCTTGTCTTGTGAGCCTTCAAGGCCTTGAGGGACTTGGAGAACAGAGAGTCGTTCTGCAGCGAGGGCTGCACAGACAGAACGACATCACTGGTGAGGTAGGCGATTCTCGCCACTATAGCACGATTACACCATGATCAGTGTTTGCTCTTTATTTCCCGACTGCTCCAAGCTGAGGAATGACTTACCCGCCTCGGCCGCGGACGAGATAGAAGCCATTGTGGTGGGCTGTTCGAGTCACAGCACAAGTGGGATAGTTCGCGATATGGCTTATCAGTATGCAGCGTCCCCGTCGCACAACACACACTGAATCGAGGTACAATTGGGAGAGGATATATGCTCACTCTCTTCCACTGAGTCAACAAGAGAGAAAAGGGAAATCCGTGGTTTTTTTTTGAGAATCGACTCAATTCTCCGTCGTCGGGGTTAGATCAGCAGTCCGCTGATTGGTGTACGATCACGACATCAGTGCAAACAGCCGCTGCAACAGATGCAAACTTGCCTCTTTGGGCCCAGTGCGGGGGATCCCGTGACCTACTCGAGCACGTCAGCGCCGGGATTTGCGGTGTTTGCACCGTTTGCACTCCACCTGCCCTCGTTCTGCAGCTCGTCGGCGACGGTGCCGAGTGCTTGGACGCATATGAGAGGTCTCCAGCGAGATCCCGGAAGGGGTTTGCTTGACCTCTGACGCCATCACCAAATGCCTTGTGGGGGTTACGTGCTGAATATTCCTTTTTTTGACTGCGTTGTCTTAACCTTTCTCCGTGTACCAATAGCACCACAGCAATTACCGACAGCCTAATTAGGAGCTGATTTCCCGTGTAAAAATTCCCCTCCGACTTAGGAGGGGGTAACTTGCCCCATTCGACAGACGGTCAAATGCCGAGATCAATCTAATCAGTGTTCGGCCGAGAGCATTGCCTTCCACCTCCAGGGCTGGGGGTTGGCTACTTTGTACATGAGTGATAATTGATTTTCCACTTCCAAGGTTGATTGTCTTCGGCTAAATTTGCAACGACCGGTTTTACATTCAATATACGGCAAAGCAATTGTGTACAGACATAAACCTGGGGGTAAATTAATCCCCCCCACTTCGGACAATATACATGATCCATCAATATCCACTACAATCAGAACAGTAGATGGTGATCGGTGCCAGAGACACGGGGAAAACGCCCCATCCGTTGAAAAATAAATCCAGACTCCGTGATGAAAGTCAAAACGCCATCCAGAGCCAAAGGGGCGGACCGAATGTCGAATACCAAGATGCGACAAATTCCGGGGCCAGTATCAAGTTCATATATGCTGGTTTTGTCATAATCGAGCGAGCTCGAGGTTCATGGGTCTCAGGGGAAACCGGGGTATCGCGGGTGATGGGGTGGTCTCATGAAACGATAGGACAGACACAAGAGCCATGCGGATTGTGTCGACCGGCTGCGGACGGGGTTCGCGACTACGGCGCGCAGCCAGGGAGGACAGTGGGGGAGACGTTGAAAAGATCAAGGTCCAAAAGAGGGAGCGCTATACAAGGATTCGACGGAGGTGGGCCGTCGGGGAGGATGTATAGATCATTTATCGAGGCGCGGTCCAATCCTGCATCTTGACATTCGTGCCATGTTCCGGGATGGGCTGGTGGAGAACGGTAGGCCGAACGAGAGAGGGCGAAGGTTGGGGAGGACCGGTGCCCGAACGGCGTCTGCGCTCGCGCTCCAGGGCCCCGGGAAGTTCGGTGTTGTTGCTGCGATTCCGGAACTTGTGGTTGATGCCGCTAAGCCAGTTTCCATTCTCTTCTTCACCTAGCCAGTAACTGTGGCCGATCCCGATCATGATGCGGCCTACTTTGCCTTCCCATCCTTGTCCGTCGGGGCTGTAGGGGGAGAAGGGCTCCCGGTCGATATCGGCGACACTGGCGACCGACACGTTGCGGCTGTGGGTGGGGAGCTGGGTGTGGCGAGGAATCGCGACCCAGAGGCGAAGGGCCTGGCGCGCGAAGGCCAGCATCACGAGAACGAAGTACACCCGGACCACCCAGAGGAGGCAGATGAAAATGATGCTTTGAAGACTTTCGGGTTGCAGGACGACATTGCTGAGATCATCGGCGCGCGGAGGATGGGCGATGAAGTTGTTGCCCTCTTTGGTGTTTTCAATTTCGACATAAGCGGCGTCGTACTTGGGGCTGGTGAATCCGGCGGTTTGCGCGATGGTGTCGCCTCCGGGGCCGACAGCCTTGCCACTGTCGTAATGTTGCGACACTACCAAGAACCACGTCACCCCGAACGCCGCGGTATATGCGGCGTTGATCAAACTATCGAACACGTAGAGGTAGGCGAGCGCGAGACATTGCAGGGGCGTTTGCTTGCGGATGTGAGGGAAAAGTGCGACGGCGAGTCCCAAGGCGATCAGAGACCAGAGGTACATGGAAAGTTGAACAGGTGAAAGGTGGTAGCCCGTGAAGAGGGCGAGGAGGCCATAGAAGCCACTGATCTTGTTCAATAAGAGCGACAGGGTGATCAGAGAAGCACCGGTCTCTAGGCTCATCACATAGAGAAAAGACTTTAACGGTTAGCTCGCTCGGGGGACGGAGGCTAGCAAACTCACCTCTGGCCGCGGAATGCGGAGAAATCGGGACGAGAACCCCATGGTGAGGCCTCTCAAGAATGTATAAAGATGAAAATAGATGGAAGAATAGATACGAAAGGGAAGAGTGAAGAGGCTGGATGGAACCGCTCCAGGGGCGCCATTTTCCGGGTGATCCGCCTGCAGATCAATTTCCGATTCCGCCTTCGGTTGCATTATTTTACTACAGACTGCTACTACTACTAGCATTCTACTAGTATACGAAGTACGAAGTCTGTCAGTTCAAAATATTGAGTACGGGGTATTGACTACTCTGTACTAGTTGCAGAATTGAGCCCAGATCCCAAAGACAAGTAACAGTTCTGCCCCTTACGTCGACGCAAAAATGGAAGCAAGACCCCTGTTGCTGCCTGGGAAACAAGGCAACTGCACAACGGTGCATAAAGTGACGTAATTATAGTCCTGCCTCAGGTGTCTGCGTGTATCGGCTACATGGGAACTATGCGGTTCTTCGCGTACACGCTCCTAGGGGGTTGTGGATTGAGGTCCAATTCCAAGCAAAGTACAATAGCCACTCAAAGGATCAAATGACCCATACTTCATGTCATGGCCTAGCTGCAGGCCCTCGGCAAGAGCCTTGTCCGTGAAACCAAGTGACCGAGACCTCGGGAAGCCCTAACCGCATCTCCCCCGCATATAAGAATGTACAACACGAATCGAGCTTCATTCATTCATACCTGCGTGCCTACCATAACATATTGCTTGGATCACTTGCCATGACAACTGTATCGAACGAAGAAACGAGGACGGACCGACTGGTCAAATGGGCTGTGGATCTGAAGTACAGCGACATCCCTGACCATGTGGTCCAACGTACCAAAGACTTCTTCCTAGACACTCTAGGCTGCGCCATAGCAGGCCGAAATCATCCCGCTGTCTCTGCAATGGTGCGATTTGCCGCTCAAATGGGCCCGTCGAGTGGAAAGAGTGAGCTGATCGATAGCTCTCACAATCTCACCACCAGTCCGCCGTTTGCCAGTCTAATCAATGCGGCTGCATCCCATGTTGTGGAACAGGATGACCTGCACAACCGAAGCATCATGCATCCAGTAAGCCAGAACCATCGATCCCAGAACGCTAGGCAACGAACTTGGCGCTCATCCATCATTAGGCAACTGTTATTTTCCCGGCGGCTCTTGCAGTAGCTCAGGATGTTGGCGCTAACGGACAGGAGTTCATCACCGCCTGTGTCGTTGGATACGAGGTCGGTTGCCGTGTTGGTGAATATCTGGGAAAGAGTCACTATGAGGTATGAACCAATATACGCCCAATCAATACCAGTGACTGAGATTGCTGTAGAAATTCCACAGCACTGCCACGGGTGGAGTGATCGGAGTGGCAGCCGCGGTGTCTCATCTACTCAAACTCGATGCTAGCCAGACACTTTCAGCCGTGGGCACAGCAGGCACACAAGCTGCGGGTCTGTGGCAGTTCCTGATGGACGCAACCCACTCAAAGCAAGTACATACCGCCAAGGCCTGCTTTGACGGCATATTCGCTGCCTACAGTGCCCGGGATGGTCTTTTAGGACCGCGAGATATTTTAGAGGGACCCCGTGCGATGGGTGCGGCGCTCGTGCCTGGAAAAGCGAATCCAGAATCAATTGATCGGAATCTGGGTCTGGAGTATGCTGTTGTCCGCTCGAGCTTCAAGTGGCATGCTTCCTGTCGACACACCCATCCCAGTGTCGATGCGCTGCTTAATCTGATGTCGAAGAGCGGTATCGGGTTTGATGATATTGATTCCATTCGTGTCCCTACGTATCAGGCTGCGATTAATGTGCTGAGCTTGAGTGGAGAGGGTGATACGGTTCACCAGAGTAAATTCTCGATGGGTTTCGTGCTGGCTATTGCAGCAAAAAAGGGGCAAGCTATGATCACTGACTTCACAGAAGAGGATTTGAAAGATCCTTCACTGCGTGCTTTCCAAAAGAGAGTCAAAATGGAGTTTGATGCGGAACTAGACGCTCATTTCCCGGAGAAGTGGCAGGGGACTGTCATTGTTACTTGTAAGTCTGGAAAGACTTATAGGGAATCGGTTGAGTTTGCGAAAGGAGATCCAGAGCTTCCTCTGACGCGGTATGTGACTCTATTCATTTTTCAAGAGTGGAGTACTCACTCAGATTTAGATCTGAGATCGAAGCAAAGACCCGTGCACTGGCCAGTTACGGCGGGATCGCCGATACGGGCACGGTCGACTCGTTGATCAAGAGAGCATGGAACCTGGAGCATGAGTCGGACGTTCGAGGATTTGTCTTTTGAGGCGGTGGGCTCTGGTGTTCTTCTACATAAGTTCCGGAGGCTGAGGGCCACCGGAGATATATAGTTGAGCCACCACCGGGGCACCTGGATATCTCATACAAGCAGCCCCCGGGTCCTCGTTAGCTTCTACCTACCTAGTAGTATGGCTAGGTAACCGAGGCCCAGTTCAATAGTTTTGAAAAGAAGTCCATGTTCATGATACCGGCTATGCCAAGTGACCTAGGAGGAAAATGCCGTATTATACAGCTTCATCGTAAGAGCATATCAGATATGTGAGCAAGGTGCCCTGTAGGCAAACAGAAGACCCCCAAAGCAAACAAGCAGAGAAAAGCCGACTGCAATAATAAAGAGCTATGATGCTGGGGAAACAAAAATCAAAACACCTTATCTCCTGCCAAGAACTCAGCAAAGAGGTTAGAGACGACCACAGTCGGGTTTGAGAAATCTAGACACGCGCTATCGAATCGAAGAGCAAGCAAAGAAAGAGAAGACATGTACATATTCGAAAATGTTGGAAATTCATGGACAAGTTCGATTTTCGTGATCGAGCCAGGGCACAGAAGGGAGATGAGTGGAGGGATCAACAGGCGCAGCCGTCGTTGTTGGTGGTCTCCTTGGGGTTGATATTCACATCAATCACTATAGCAGCATGGTTAGTTTGGCAATTCTATGTCAACCTGGGAACCGACGTACTTGTGCTCTCTCCCTGCTTGGCCTCGCCTTCCATCCCTGGTAGAGCCTGAGCGATTCTCCGGAACAGCTGCTTGACATTATGCCCGACCTTCGCACTGGTCTCGATGAACATTAATCCGTTCTTCTTTGCCTCTTCTTCACCCTGTGCCGTGGTGACTTCGCGCTTATCGTTCAAATCGGTCTTGTTGCCAACGAGGACAATGATCACATCGCTGCCACGCTCCCCGCGCACATCGTCGATCCATTTGCGGGTGTTTTGGAAGGACTTCGCATTCGAGATATCGTAAACCACAACGGCGACGCTCGAGTCTCGGATGTAGGAAGGAATCAGAGAGCGGAAGCGCTCCTGGCCAGCGGTATCCCAAAGCTGTAGACGGACGGTTCGATCCTCGAGGTACATAGTCTGATAGCAATTGTCAGCCGCTATTCCTCCTTGCCTACGGCACACCCTGTAACAGAGCAAAATTGACCGAGATCCCTATGCGGGGTATGAGGTGGCGCACCTTGGACAAAAAGTCGATACCAATAGTGGCCTGATATGTGTTGTCGAAAGAGTCGTACATGAAGCGAGTGATCAATGAGGTTTTACCGACTGGGGTTCGAGTTAGATCCGAGCATTTCATTGTATCTCGTCGACCAAGGCGCATCGAGCCCAGGTCTGGATATGAAGTGCTTACCACTCTGTTCGCCGAGAAACACCAACCTAAGTTTCTGCATTAGCACGCCATTGCTCTGCCAGAAATGCGCACTCTTGGTACTTACTTGAACTTCTTCAAGGGGTTCGAGTACGACCCAACCCCGGAGGCGGCCATTGTGACGGAGGTGTTGGTTTGGTGAAAGTCAGGGGTAGTAGAGTGCTGCGGGATCACGCCAGGGAGATTGGTGTTTGAAAAGCAATGTATGTAAACTGCTTTTCAACCAGTTTCAGGTGTTAAACAAGTGTTGTATCTGTTGTGAACAAACCAGCAGGGGAAGCAGATGGACCAGTTCGTCCGGGGAAGCACGCGTTGTCACCGCCCAAGCGGAGCAGTTAATCCGGTCCGACCACCGAGTCCCCCATCACTTCCAACCCAGAGCTTCATCTTATCGGCTGTGTTTCGCACGATCCTGGCCTTTTCATTCATTCGTCATCAGGTTCTCTGAGGTCGCCATGGCTTACCTCTACCCGGTCGGTGTCTCCACCACCGCTCTCATTGTGGTGGGATTGTGTATGTTCCCGCAGCCCCAAGACGTGATCTGGCAGCTAATGAGTCTGGACTCTAGATATGCTCTTCCACGGAGATGGTGAAGCTTTCAACGTATGCCATATCATACCTCTGACCTCACCACTTGCTAACCCGCGATGTGCTAGTTCGGCCGTTTCCTCGAGGAGGTCTCCCCCTACGCCTGGGCAAATATCGGAATCGCTGTCTGTATTGGCTGCTCCGTTGTTGGCGCGGCATGGTAAGCTGAACCTGGGCCATGCGAATATATGTCGCGATACTGACGACCCCTGCTTAGGGGTATCTTCCTCACCGGTTCATCAATTGTTGGCGGTGGTGTCCGCGCACCCCGGATCCGAACTAAGAACTTGATCTCCATTATTTTCTGTGAAGTCGTGGCTATCTACGGTGTGATCATGGCTATTGTCTTCTCTTCCAAGCTCAGCCCGGTCCCCGAAGGCGCTATCCACACCTCCAGCAACTACTACACCGGATATGCAGTGTTCTGGGGAGGAATCACAGTCGGCGTGTGCAATCTTATCTGTGGTATTTCCGTCGGAGTGAACGGAAGTGGCGCCGCTCTGGCTGATGCTGCCGATCCTAACCTGTAGGTTTTGAAGGCATTGTATACCCTGCGCAGAGTGCTTACTGACACTGTCTTGCAGGTTTGTCAAGATTCTCGTTGTTGAGATTTTCAGCTCCGTTCTCGGTCTATTTGGTCTTATTGTTGGTCTTCTTGTGGCTCAGAAGGCGGCGACATTGGAGGCAGCTTGAAGTTGAGCTTTACCCGACAACGCCAAGCTCCATACCTGCGCGGCAAACAGCTGCTGACACCTCAGCATGTGCCATATGAAGCTGATCGGCCATCTTCCTCCCGTTTTCCCAGTTCATGTTCATGTTTTGTTATACACCGCATTGGGGCGTCCGGATTCGACCACGTAGAACCGCTTGGTTCCGCTGAATTGCATTCATGGTCTTGATGATCATATGTATTGAAGTATTGGCTACCTTGAGCTTTTGCCTGTTACATTAGGGACACGGAGAATTGAATGTAGAAATTTACGAATAGGCTGTAACTGCTCAGAATTCACCCCAAAACCATGATCCACCAAAGAGTCGATGCAGTCAGACGTCCATACGAGATTTCTCCGACGTTGTATCCTGGAGGAAGTATTCGGTTCTGCATGGCCATTTGCAAAAGCCAAGAAGGCAGAGCCTTGCAGTGTAGATACAAGATCACTAACACAAGACCAAGCTTCCCCAGTTTCCTGCGACGAAAAGCATGAATCCACTGGCGGAAAGACATCCCCGAAGATAGTCTATAAGCCAGTAGCCCAGCCACCAAATTGAGCACCATAGACATCGGATCAGTAATAAGTGAACCAAGGCCAGATAATGCTTTTTTCAGGACATACTCAAACAAGAGAGTGTACATCCATGGTAGGAATCTGAGATGTGAAATCGCACCTCTGATGGATCGCATGTACTTCGAGAGAAGAGGTATCATGTCTCTCAAAGCCACTCTGCGAAGATCCTCAATTTCACTTGATGCCAGTGCATCAACGCGCGGTGCTCGCTGCTCTGAATGGTTTTTTGGGGGCTCGTGGTCAGGCAGCTCATCGTTACAACTGCTGTTGATCTGGATGATGAAACGCACTTTTCCGAATGGGTCGGTCTCCATTCTAGAACTTATCCAATATAATCCAGATGGAGGTCCAATCAGCTCGTTCGGTCTGGCACCCGTCTCCAACCATCGGTCGAGCTCTTCAATAGATGGGGGTTTGCCCATCACATCTAAAAGCTTACATGATAGGTGAAAACTCTTTTTTTAGGGGCATTGTAATCTTCAATGGGATCAATGAGAATACGCAATCCCAGGATCAAACTGGGTTGTGATGAGGAGTGTGTTATGTCCCGGAACCAAACGAAGACTTTTGGATTGCTGAGGCATAGCTGGGGCGAGAGACCCGCTGCCATCAGAACCATGTGTCTAAGGTTCGGCCGATGAGGAGAGCATATATCGTTGATTGCGAGGTTGGGTGGAATCCTGTTCAGTATGACATTGATGTCAGAGCCCCGGGGAGCATTGTTCACGAAATCGATGGTGGGAAGCAGATATATTTGCTTCCAGGGCCAGTCGGACCATTTTCGATGACCGAAAGGGATAAAATCCCCTTCCACACGAGCGTATAAGTTATCTTGGATGCATCTGACTGGCATTGCAAGATATACAGAGGGATTGACGGTCGTTCGGCACTGAGTGAGAATCAGTGTGAGCCCTCTCACACTGAGAAGAGGCACAGTAATGTTGAAGCCTTTGTTGTTGATGGTACACGGAGAAGTCGGTCGGCCAATATAACAGGGGATGTGTCCATTACAATCCTGGAATGACGCTGGCGAATGAGCGAACACCCCGCTGGTGGGAATATCTCCAGGAAGCCGAGGAATATCTTTGGGTTGGCCGTTCCTCCAATTCCAGGTCAATAATGGATGATCATCCAAGTGTTTGATAATCTCTTCCTGTAAACGCAAGAAAGCTGCGGACCCTTCGCCGTATAATAGAGGTATATTGATTCCGAATATGCCGAGAAGCGAATATGCCTGGTCCTCTGGCCGACTTGTCTGACGTTCCGATGCCCAGCTCATTCGTTCAGCGACGTCTTCGAGATATGCATAGCATACTGTCGCCTCGTGATACCATCTCATCATGGAATTGATCGCCTCGGAAAACCCTGCGCTGCTTGTTTTGTCGATGCAACAGGTGTCCACCCAGATATAGTCAACCTGATCCTCGGCAGCTTGTTGGCAAGATTTGGAAATCTTCGTCCAGCCTTCCCGCAAAGGCTCCAAGGAGGATCTTGCTGTCCTTCGATTGCGAATATCTGCATATCTTGAATTGTGACCTCGTCCTTGCCCCAGTAGTGTGACAAGATGGCATATGGTCTGTCATTTTTATTGACAAATGTTTCCAGCTGCCGGGACTTCGTGGATATGAGTCGCATTGGGTTTGATTAGACAGGTTTTGAATCTTGAACATTAATGTGAAGAGGCCGAAAAGACAGCTGAAGAGAGCTGAAGAGACCAGTCTACTGCCTAGGACATCCTCAGACATCCCTGCATTAGTACATCGTACGCGAGAAATGTACTGACTTTTCCAATTGGAGGCGATGCTCTGTACACCGACGGGACAGCTTGGTTGTCAGGCTTGAGAATCAATTGGTTTGGCTTTAAACCCTGCATTCGGGAGCCCTTATCGATCTAGACGGCGATGTATGATTTTGAATCACAAAGACTGCAAAATGAAGTGCAATATGAAAATGTGAAGGCATTCCGAGTTGAAGAGAAATGCCGTCCGCACTGCGTAGTCGATAAGTCGGAGGTTGGCGATAGTCCGACCTCATTTCCCCCACTTGGACACTTTCCCTCCACAACATGGACAAACTCAAGGCGGCAATTTTGATCATCTCAGATACGGCATCTGAAGATCCTACATCCGATCGAGTTGTCGATGCATTAACCCCCATCTTGGCCGCAGAAGGGAAGTGGGAACCCCCCGCATTCAAGATCGTCCCCGACGATGTCTCCCTGATCCAGCAAGCCCTGTGCGAGTGGACCGATGGCCCCAATTGGTATAATCTCGTTCTACTCAGTGGAGGAACAGGTTTCGCAGTCAAGGATAACACTCCGGAAGTTGGTCAATCTGTCCCTGGCCTCTAGTGCCACTGCTCATGACATCACTAGGCTGTCTCTCCCCTGATTCATCGACATGCACCGGGTTTGATGTGAGCTGATATTCGTTCCGGTCGCGAAAATGATAAGCTGACCGATTTTGCAAGACATGGAATGATTGCTGCGTCCTTGAAAGTGACACCCTGTGAGTGGCATTGGCGCGTCTAGTGCTGTCGGATGTGGACTGGGCTAATTTCCACAGTTGCCATGATGGCAAGACCGGTGGCTGGTGTCCGTGATAAGAGTTTGATCATCACCTTGCCTGGATCACCAAAGGGTGCAACGGAGAATCTGGAGGCTGTGGTGAAGCTCCTGCCGCATGCCTGTCTACAGGCTGCGGGTGCCAATTCACGGAATCTCCATGCTGGAGGTGTGAGGAAGCTTGAAACAGAGGCTGGTGTTGGTGGCAGCCAACACTCTCATCATCACCATCACCATCACCACCACCACCACCATGATCATGGACATGGCCACAAAGTCCCCAAAGCGCACACTGCGCCATCGGACAGGCCACAGTCCAACGATCCTAACGCAGGACCTAACCGGCGCTATCGCTCCTCACCTTATCCGATGCTGTCCGTAGATGAGGCACTTCAGCAGATCAACGAGCAGACTCCCGAGCCTGAAGTGGTTGAAGTTCCTGTAACCACCTCTTTAATAGGCTCGGTGATTGCGGAAGACGTCTGCGCCGCGGAATCAGTCCCGGCATATCGCGCTAGCATCGTCGATGGGTACGCAGTCATTGCTCCAGACTCCAAGACTAGTGGCCAGTCTACCAAGGGCATCTTCCCCGTAGCGTCCATCACCCATGCCAATGTCGGTGGAAACCTAGAGCCCCTGCAGCCAGGCACTATTGCCAGAATCACCACTGGTGCCCCTCTTCCCCCGAACGCAAATGCCGTCGTCATGGTTGAAGACACAACCCTGGCCTCATGCACCCCCGACGGCAAAGAGGAAGCGACAGTCGAGATTCTCACCGACGAGGTCAAGCCCGGTGAGAACGTTCGCGAACCCGGCAGCGATGTCACACTTGGCTCCAAGATCCTTGTCCGCGGCGACTTGATCACCCCCGTCGGTGGAGAGATCGGCCTCCTAGCCTCAACAGGCACCAAGACCGTCAAGGTCTTCCGCAAGCCGCGCGTAGGCGTCCTGAGCACAGGCGACGAACTCGTAGAACACGACGACCCCAGGGCTCTTACAGGCGGTCAGATCCGTGACTCCAACCGCCCATCACTCATCTCCTGTCTGAAATCCTGGGGCTTCGAGACCATCGATCTAGGCATCGCACGCGACACACCAGCCAGCGAACTCGAGCTTGCCCTCCGCGACTCTCTCCGCGGTGTCGGCCGTGCCTCAACCAGCGTTGACGTGATAATCACAACAGGTGGTGTGTCAATGGGTGAGCTGGACCTCTTGAAACCAACCATCGAACGATCCCTCGGCGGTACAATTCACTTCGGTCGTGTTTCCATGAAACCAGGCAAGCCAACCACTTTCGCTACAATCCCATTCAAACCCACCGGTGATCAAACCCAGCAAGAACGCCAATCGAAACTCATCTTCTCGCTGCCTGGTAACCCGGCTTCGGCACTGGTTACTTTGAATCTGTTCGTTCTTCCTTCGCTGCACAAACTCTCGGGCTTGGGCCATAGTTCGCAAAGCTTGGCTTCTAAGCCTTGGCTTGCGCCGCAGCTGGGTCTTCCGCTCGTTGCTGTTGTTTTGAATCATGCTTTCCCGCTTGATGCGAAGCGCACGGAATATCACCGTGCCGTGGTCACGGCGTCGAGATCGGATGGCCGGTTGTATGCTACTAGTACGGGAGTTGAGGGTGCTGGGCAGAGATCTTCCAAGGTGGGAAGTCTTGCTAAAGCTAATGCACTGGTGGTGCTGCGGCCTGGGAGTGGAGTTGCTGGTAAAGGGGACATTTTTGAGGCTTTGATGATGGGAAATGTCCATGGTTCCAATTAGACTTGAACTGTTCTTTACTGTTCTTTAGAAAATCGAGTTTGTCTCGTCTGTTCCAATCTTGATTAGCTACATTTGCTATATCGTATGTACCGTAGATCTTTCTTCTTTGCCTCACTTTGATAACTTCTTGTGGCAGTGGGTGCCCAGATAGTATTGATGCATAGACTAGCTGTCGAGCATGCCATCTATGGATAGGTTCACGCTGCGAAATGATGATTTTGTGAGCACATTATCCGGGCTGATGGGAGAATGGTGATCCTCGGATTCAAATATTACAACCATATGGGACTCTATTTTGAACAATTACAACCCCCGAGCCAACGCCAAGTGAAATAGAACCCAATCACCCCTTCGAGTACTTCCAACCCTTCTTCTTCTCCGCTCTGAAGGCAATCAAGGTCCCTTCCCTGCCCTGCTTCCTCGCAATCTCCACAACAAGGAAGCGCACAAAGTCACCCAGCGTCCAGTAACTGCTGTGAGCACTCAGCATGTTGAGATACTGGATGTTGAGCGGACCACCGCCGCCAGAAAGATAGTAGTCGATCTGACCATTATCATTGAGCAAGAGCATGCGTTTCTCGGCGATTTCCTCACGGGTAAAATCATGCGTTTCTAGCTCGACATTAGATGGGAGTTTGGAAACTGCTGCTGGCCGGGTAGGGGTTGAAGTAAATGTTGATGGTGTAGAGCTCCATCGGAAAACGCTGCCAAATGACTGCCAGAAGGTTGAGGTTGAGCTCGGGATTGTGCCCATTTTGAGGGTATTGGAGAGTTCCGAGTCGACTGCTGCGTTGACTCGGTAGGCAATTGCTGTTGTGCGTTAGTGTGGAAGTGCCTGGAGCATATGTGGTTACTCACGGTCGGTTGTATGCATGATATTGTACAGATTGTCCACGGCAAGGCAGCCGTATTGCCCGGCTTCTCCGGCTACACCTCGAAGGAGGTCATCGCCTTCGCTGCCTGGTTTGCTTCGGCCCTTTCGGGGGAGCAGGCTAGCTGTGAGAATATTAAATCGAGACTATGATGATGTTGCGTTGTGACCATACCTTTGTTGAGAAGAAGGAAGAATCCAGCTGGACTCCCGCAGAGGAACAGATGTCTAGTATCGAACTCGAAGATGTCGCTATGCAAAGGGGTGTTGGAAAAGTCAAAACGGGGGACGTGTGTTGGTTGCTGGCTGAGAATGTCGACGGCCATCACGCTGCCGAGGGAATGAGCGATCAAGTGTACCCGGCCGTTCTCTTGGAATCCTGGATTATTCTTACACCAAAGACGGTACACACGGTTTGCTTCTCGTATGACCGCCTTGACCATCTTTGGCTTGTGGTGTGAGAGGTAGTAGGGAATATCCAACATGACATCACTGATCAGGGACCGGATGGCAGGGAGAGTTTGCGGTGTGATATCGTCAAGTGAGAAGTCATTTCTGGCCGGATCGTCAAGGCCTGCTTCGACATCGGGATCGTCTAGCGATAGCTTAGTGCGCCAATTGACTGGAAGAACCATGATTCCTCCGTGATCCTGGCGTACGTGGGGCCATACAGGCTCGTTGTTGAGCTCCATGTTAACCTCGCGTCTAAATGCATTGATAGCATGGGTGAAATGGAAGCTTTCCATCCTCTCGGAAAGCTTTTGCCCGATACCATGGATGACCAGCACCAGGTCTGTTGGGGGTGGTCTCGACTCCTCCATCTTGCAGGCATAGCACACCTGCTCACCCGGTACAGCAGGGTCCCTTGATTGCGTCTTGCGGATATAGTGGCGCACATCGATAGGATTGGGTTTTGAGGGATGGAGCTCCTCCCAAAGCTTGCGGTTGAAGCCTCGAACCACAGGAATACCTATCTGTCGGCCCTTCCGTATAGCACCAAGAGGACGGCGTCCCCTCGAGGCCGAGGGCAGTAGGCTTGGTCGCAGTACCTGGGCATCAACTGCATTGACGTAAATGGCGCTGGATGTGAGGTATGACTTGATGCTCTCGGCTTGGGCGGAGATTCCACCGGCTGCCTGATTCTGATCATATCTCGTAGATTCCGCCGAGTCGTCTAAGGGTGTATCTCCACTCGGATCACCTTGCGAAGTTGCAGGCTGACCGGCCAAAGTAGGTTTCTTTGCCCACAGCGGGTGAACAATCTTCATTTCGGCATCAGCGCCGTTATCGACGCAACTGTTTAACTCGTCTTGCCAGGTATCGGTCCACGGCTTCAGCTCAAGATATCCCTCTTCCAGCCTGTTCGCAATTTCCGTCTCGACCGGGAACATCGTATTCTTGTAAAACCAAGTGGCTCGGACTACGTTCGAGATATCTTGCAGAGGACTCCAGTAAATAGGTTTCATCTGGAAAAGGGTTAGTAGCATATACGAGTGAGCAAGAACGACATTCCACTTGCCTTTAGATTTGGCAACTCGACCAGATGAAGCCGAGATACACCAACTGGGATTTTCGACTGTGTATCTGGCCCCTCTGTCCTGTCATCCTGGGAGTCCAGCGTCAGTTGATCCACGCTGAACGTGGTTCTCAGGCCCGAGGGCTTCGGAGCACTTTTTGGGGCACTAGCCCGCACCTCCGCCTGCCAGTCTGACCCGCCTTCCTTGGTGGAAGTCGACTCGAATGAGCGTCCGAGGGGTGTTTGAGACTGGGGGATCGGTGCTCGTATGAACGGAGATCCGCTCATGCTTGCATCATGGGGACGATTGTCTCGTGGACTCCCGGATTCTTCACCTTCGTCGATATTCTCGATTTCAAGAAGGGAGCTGCTTCTTCGCTTCGCTGCGCTGGACTCATTGACTGATGAAGAACGTGCTCTTTTCCGGGCAGTGCCTAGATCCGTTGGAGTGTCATGCTTTGCCCCGTCGTCTGATGAACAGTCTTCATGGTCATCATGGCTGATTTCCTTTGCTCGCGTAGCCGTGGGATTAGAATTCAGAGCGGCGTGACTTTTGTGGCTGCGCGAGTGTAGCTCATCCAAGAGCGAAGACGGGTTGCTGAGCGTGCTCCCTCTGCTTTCCACCAGGGACGGGTCATGTCGACTGGCCGTCTTGCGACGCGGTCGGACATTTGATTCTGAATCATGGCCAGGCACTGCGATCCCAAACGGTCGACTCTCTGCATGCGACTTCTGTTTCTGACTCTCTGCATCCTTCTTTTTTCGTTCCCGTAGATCGCGCCAAGCCTCTTCCAAGGCGATGTTATCCCTGGCTGAGAATGGCTTGGGAGGCAGTCTTTCAACGCCCGCCTGGTTTGCAGGCGGTGGCAGAGGAGCCAGGGGGTCATCGATCGGCAGCGCTGAGATGTAAAAAAACTGCGTCTGAATATCTGGTGCCGACTGGGTGTCGGTCCGCACCGGCTCTTCGAGCACGCAGCTTGGGCCGTAGGTGTGGATCGGACCCGTCATGGCGAGAAAAACTCCACTCCGATCTCAGATCTCAGATCTCATATCTCAGTTTCAGATGTGAAGAAGCTGAACGGTGGACGTCCAAGAGAGCGGTCAGTGATCATGACGTCGCCCCACGTGCAACCTGGAAATCTGGGAACTGCGGTGGTTTCGACTTTCTTCTTTCTACCTGGTCAGTCTACCCTGATCATCCACATCTTCGAATGCATACCTAGGTAGGTTTAAGATTCATGTCCACATCCGAAACAAAGCTCGTGGACTATGAGTACAACCATGCTGACATCGACCTCGGTGTATATCTTACATCCATACTACGACAGATAATGCTTCAGACACACTTCCACGCCATAATTTAATTGAGCTTCGCCTGTCAGTTTTGCAATATCAAACCCTGGGCTTCGGGTTGATACTGAGCTTTTTATTATTTTCTCAACTCAAGACCTCGAGAGCAGCTCTTAAATGACGGCATGGGTTCTCGGGGCCCTGGTGTCACAAAAGATCTACCAATATTGATAGACTGCGCGGGAGATGGATATTTGTCCCTGATTGCGATAATAACTTCATGTATGACGGTTGTAGGCAGGGCGCTTTCTTGTTAGAAGCCATTCCAAGTTCTGCGGTGGCTTAAATGCACCATAGAAGCTGAAGCTGCAGCACACACCCCGGACGGAATTACTTGGATCAAGCGCGTACAACCTTGAAATATTGATTCTGGCCACAGATACATTGATTGCCACATATACTTAGGAGAATCAAAGCTGACATAGACCGAATATAGGCCCTCGCTGGGGTTGAATGTACTCATGCCCTTCCGCTACCTGATACAAGTAGGAGATACTATCTCACATTGGAGGAAGTGGCGAAGATACCTGGTATGCCAGGCACTTCAACCAGGCCAGTATTGTATAGATTCTCGTTTCTATCCATCGATCAGTATAGCGATGTCCCGAGTACATGCTATCTCCTGTACCCCGAAGCTAGGCTACTGGACCAAGGCCTTCGGATGTTGTGTGATTGTGCATTATTGTGCTAAGGTCATTGTGGAAGGGACTTCGAAGCTCAAGGAGCTATGGGATAGGCACGAGGGGGGTGGGCAAGGGAAGAGGGAAAAGGAAGCCTGAGAGCTCGAAGGGGTCACCGGTATGCCCAGTTTGAAACGCCCATAACAAGGGCGGAATTGTACGGAATACAGCACAGATGCAACGATGTCCGCCGCTTCCATATCAATTTTGATATCTTGTACGCCGTACGAGTAGCCGCATATCAGTGTCCAGAAGACGATGTGATCCATTTCGCGCCCCTCCATGTTTAAACGTGACCTTGGTCATACCGCAACGCCGTGACGGCATAGCCGGTTCCCAGCTGCGGAGTGTCAATCCGGAGTAAGAATGGGAATCCCCCGCGGTAAGCAACCTTCCAGTGGTAGGGGTCGCAGGGAGCCGACTGAATTGCCATGGGGGTGGCCGAGGAAAAAGCGCGTCAATCGTCCAGGTCGTGGCAGGCAAAGTCGGGTTTTCCGGGAGTGCAAGTCCCAGGTCCAACTCCCTGACCCAATAACGTGAACGGGTAGTGCATCGGTGAAAACAGAAATCCCGGGCAGGGCTGCCGAGGATGGCGTCACGTGGTCTCCACCGCAGCTACCGAGACTGTTTCCGGGTGGAGTTGCGCCGAGCAGCGACCAGTGACCACCGCGGACCACCAGCGACCAGTCCCCGCCAGCGTTACCCATTCCTCTCCACTTCACGGGGATCAACGACGGCAGTATGACACCCTGCACACCAAGCACTGGTCCCCACACGGCGCTTGTCGCTGGGAGCATGACTAACCCTGCATAACTCCCATTCTGCCCCTCCTGATTGGCCACCCCAGCCCTTGAACCGATGTTCCCCCACGATCTACCCGACTCTGAATGCCGTGGATGTTCTCCGGTGCTTCAGTCTAATCCCCAATTTGCTCGCTTACCCCGGTTTGCCAACAGTATATAGGGATAGCCATGGCCCTCTCAAGGTTTTCCTTTTCTCCTCATAGGATGACATTGTGATACCCTCTGCCTTTGACTTGTTTCTTGGACTGAACATAAAACCCATTACATCATATCCATTCCACACACGCAATTCGAAATTGACCGTCAGCATGGTTCAAGAGAACTATGACATCGTCATCGTGGGCGCCGGGCCCGTCGGTCTGCTGCTGTCCCTGTGCATGTCACGATGGGGCTACAAGGTAAAGCACATCGACAACCGACCGGTGCCAACCGCCACCGGTCGCGCCGACGGTATCCAGCCGCGATCCACCGAGATCCTGCGCAACCTGGGACTGAAGCGCTCAATCATGGCGTATGAGCCTGCGAAGGTGTACGACGTCGCCTTCTGGGACCCCAAGGCGGATGGCTCGGGTATCGGCCGAACCGGCAGCTGGCCCAGTTGCCCCCGCTTCATCGACACCCGCTACCCATTCACCACCCTGGTGCACCAGGGCAAAATTGAGCGCGTCTTTTTGGAGGAGATCGAGAAGGCGGGTACCACCGTCGAGCGCCCATGGACTATCGTTGGTTTCAACAACGATGGCGCCAACGCGGAATACCCCGTTGAGGTCAACCTGAAGTGCTTGGACACCAACGTCATTGAGAACGTGCGCTCCAAGTATTTGTTCTCTGGCGAGGGTGCCCGCAGCTTCGTTCGCGAGCAGCTCGGTATCAAGATCCACCACAAGGATCCCATCGCCTACGTCTGGGGTGTTATGGACGGTGTTGTGCGCACCAACTTCCCCGATATCGAGGTAAGAGTCTTCAAACCCAATCTTGCAATGCGCTATTCTAACTTGTTGTACAGACCAAGTGCACCATTCACTCCGACGCCGGCTCCATCATGGTTATCCCCCGTGAGGACAACATGGTCCGCCTCTACGTTCAGATCGCCTCCTCCACCGACCCCGACTGGAACCCCCGCAAGACCGCCACCGCCGAGGAGGTCCAGCAGACCGCGAAGAACATTCTGAAGCCCTACTGGATCGAGTGGGACCGGGTCGAGTGGTACTCCGTCTACCCCATCGGACAGGGTATCTCTGAAAAGTACACCCTTGACGAGCGGGTCTTCATGGGTGGTGATGCTTGCCACACCCACAGCGTCAGTTGCCCCATCTTTCCCCAGTCTGTACCATAGCTAACATCCCCCAAGCCCAAGGCTGGCCAGGGTATGAACACTGCTTTCCACGACGCCCTCAACATGGCCTGGAAGCTCCACGCCGTGGAGAGTGGATTCGCCAACCGTTCCATCCTCAGCACCTACGAGAGCGAGCGTAAGGACATCGCCGAGACTCTGCTCAACTTCGACTCCAAGTACGCCGCCCTGTTCTCCAAGCGCCGCCCATCCGCCGGTGAGGTTGGCTCTGCCAGCGCCACCACCGTTGGCAATGTTGGTGAGGAGGACGAGTTCGTCAAGACTTTCAAGTCCTCTTGCGAGTTCACCAGTGGATACGGAGTGGCCTACCAGCCCAACATCTTCACCTGGGATGCCAGCCACGCCGCCAAGTCTCCTCTGTTCCAGATCCCCGGTGTTCACTTGACCCCCGGTCGTGCCTTCACCCCCACCACCGTGACCCGTCTCGCCGACTCCAACTTCGTCGAGCTGGAGCAGGAGGTCCCTGTGAACGGATCTTTCCGCATCTTCATCTTCGCCGGTAACCAGGCGAAGACCAAGAAGGCCATTACCGACCTTGCCGCCAACCTGGAGAAGGAGCGCTCGTTCCTGTCGGCCTACCGCCGCCCCGACATCGCCGATGTCTCGTTCTTCGAGCGCCACAACCCCCACTCCAAGCTCTTCACTCTCTCTGTGATCTACGCTGGCTCCAAGAACACCATCGACGTCGACTCCATCCCTCAGGTCCTGCGCGACTACCACCACCACCTGTACGCCGACGACATCCCCGACGTGCGTGTTCCCCAGGCCAAGTTTGCCGCTCACGAGAAGCTTGGCTTCGACGCCGAAAAGGGTGGTGTTGTCGTCACTCGTCCTGACAGCCACGTTGCTTGCACTGTGCAGCTTGTGGAGGGCAGTGGCACTGTTGATGCTCTCAACGAGTTCTTCAACTCTTTCTCCACGAAGCCTCTGGGCCAGGACTCCCAGCAGAGCCGCCTGTGAATGCTTCCGAAATGTTTATGAGTCTGTAGTTTATCTCAAAGTTGTATATAGCTTGGGCATGATTGGCGTTTGTTTTATACCTGAATAGAATTTCATCTTATTCTACATTTCATCTCTGAGTCAAGATTGCACTGTACTGTACTTCGTACCTAATGTAAGTGGCGTGCCCTTTGAGACTCCATCTACTCTACAAACGGTGGACCTGTGAAATACTATGCGTCCACGAGCTTGTAATTGAGGTGGATCTCTGAGATGGTCAATTTTGAAACTTCACCGATCTCACAGATCGCACCAAGTCATACCTAGTACGGTCGCACGGCACACCGTGTAAGATGATCTCTCGAGAATCCCATGAGTATTTTAAATGTCATTCCGTCCATGGAGGTGGTTTAAATTAGATGCGTAATCTACGGTATGAAGTCGTAAGGTAAAAAACTCCGGCAGAATCTGACGCGGGCATCTGTACACAGTTCGGAGTCATCTCCACCCCGCTTCACTTGAGCTTTTGAAACCCTCAACTCTGCACCATGCTCACTCTGACTGTCCAAGCCGAGCTGGAGGGGTAAGTTTCTCCCGGATACTCTCAATCACAACGAAAATGTCCCCAACCTCTGCATTTCCAATGCCGGATGCTTTTGGTGATATTCATGAGCTAATATCCAATCAAGCGTCACTGCTCTCCAGCCCACTGATACCGAGGAGAACCCTTACTTCTACACTTTCCGGGTGCAATGCACCTCCTGCCACGAAACTCACCCGAACTGGGTCAGCTTCAACCGCTTTGTATGTTGCCCTCCTACTGATCTCTGCACCCTCTAACCGTTGACTAGGAAGTTCATGAAATCCCGGGCAGCCGTGGTGAGGCGAACTTCGTGTGGAAGTGCCGTCTGTGCACGGTAAGTACTGCGCTGCACCGATAGCGGTCGCTGGTCCATGTCATATTCATTGGCATCCACTACGGCCGAGAGGTTCAAGCTCAGACTGACCATGGTGTAGAAAACCCACACTGCCTCCATCACCAGTGGGCCCAAGGCCTATGAGGCCCAGGAGAAGAAGAACAGCCAGAAGATCCTGGAGATGGATTGCCGGGGTCTAGAATTCATTGAGTTCAAGCCTGATGTAAGCGCGTTTCGTCATGGAGTTGGTGTCTTTGCTGATTGATGATGCAGGGTGACTGGGAAGCCAAGGGTGTTGACTCTACCACCACTTTCACTGGTATTGACCTCACCGAGGGCGAGTGGTATGATTATGATGAGAAGAAGGGCGAGGAAGTCAGTATTAAGGAGATTACCTGGAATGTTGGCCGTTGAACACACTTGTCAATGGCTTGACCCTTCTCAACCGCTGAACCATTCACATAGTTATGTGGGTTATGTGTGTAAGGGAGTGGGGGTATCCTCGATGATCTATAACTGCTGTTTGAACGGTATTATCAATCAGTCCATCACCGGCTGCTGACAGGTCGCAATGAATGTGAAGAGGGCTTCTAAGGTGCTGTATTACTACTGGTGTTTGTGGGATGGCTTGTGTTTGCGATAGGGGAGTACAGTAGCCTGGAGTGTTTTAGCAATGAAGATTATCTCTGAGCGGAGAGTATGACAATAACGCATTTCCACGGCGAGCAGTATTTCATAACTACCTAGGTAGAAGAAGTAAACGCAGTGAGCAGGACTGGAGGTTCACGTGAACCTTGAAATCCAAAGCTATAAAGGCGGTGACCCGGAACGCACGCTCATTGGCTAACCATCACCTCTCAACCAGCTCACATTTTCGCGATGTCTGGAACTCCGATAACCTCGCCAAGCGACCAGCAATCCAGTGAAGGATCCGATCCCTCACTCCAATCACCCCTCCAACCCAGTGAAGAATCTCGTTCTTCATTCTCACCCTCCCAATCCGATACCCAGAGTGCACCAGCCACAATGAGTGTACGTCTCCAGCCCGAAGCATCAAGCTCACATCGCCATCACACTTGATGCTGCGGTCAACTCCCAGTCCTCAATTGCTAATCTAAGTACCTACAGTTCCAACCACTGAACCCTCGCCCATTCCTCCAGGCCCGGTATGCGACTCCCAACCCCCACCCCCACCCCAGCCCTCATGCACCAAAGACATCTCCCCCGCCCAAGACCCAATGTCCAGTATCCAATATCCGTACCATGCAGCTCACTGACATACCCATTCCAGCGTTGGCACTGAAGTCCTCATCCGCCTCAAGTGGGGCCAGACCGAGTACAAGGGCATTCTGGAGAGCGTCGATTCATACATGAACGCACTGCTGCGCGACACAGAGGAGTTCATCGACGGCAAGTCCACCGGTGTTCTGGGTCTCGTTCTGATCAGGTATGCGCTCTACACCCTGGAGTCGGTGCGCGTTTTTGCTAACGCAGACAGATGCAACAACATTCTCTGGATTGGCTCGGCGGATAGCGTGGAGATGACGGATATGGAACTCAAATAATGGATGGCGCCCGATGCATGTTGTGAAAACTGCCGTTCTCATCGTGCAGCGCTACTGTTCCCCATGTCATCCACCGATGTCGGGGCGTTGGGGGGCCGGTTGATACTACGCTTAGGGACTAGGGACTAGGGACTGCGAGACGGTGAGAACGTGCAGAGATGATACCGCGGACCGGGGCGAGTCCGATCTCATTTCGATTATCAGGCGTTTTCTTTTTTATGGCTTGTTCCCAGTGATTTGCGTGGCCCCTTTGGCCGGAATTGAATTACTATTTCCATGGATTGCTGCCTGTAGGTTTTCTTTTCTTTTTTTCTGGTTTTATTGCTTCGTTGTGTACAGTGAGTCACTTTAGCTGCGCCTGTACGAGTGCGAGTATCGAGAGGCGCAGGGACGATCAGAAATCTGTGGCGGAGCTCCAGGCAGATACTGCGATTGTGTCAGGGTTGTGGCGAAGAGATAGCACTTGACTCTGATAGCCAACGTAAGTGCTGTATAGCAAATGAGCACCCCGGTTGATTCTCCACGGAGGGGCGAAAAAGACTACGTACGATGTCGATGCCCCTCGCATTTTCAGGGCTGACCCGGAATTGGCTCATCACGGTGGAGAAGTGCTCTGCTTAATAGTGTCTGGCGCACAGATACATAGATATGTGATCTGTGGCGGTTTCTTATTATAGCAACCCCTCAAGTGCTCAGCATCAGGAGCTTACGAAGTGTGAATATCAAAGAAAACTCTGCCTTCGACGTCATCTTGGGCATCGAGTCCATTCTGCTGGAGTCTAGTCCAGCTAGTACGGATTTTAGTGAACTCTAGCCGGTCTCAGAGCGAAAGCGAAAGAGCGGAGAAGGCTGTACTCCTGGAGGGTTAAGGGCATAACATATGATATACGGTCCGAGAAATGCTCAGTTGACCGTGGCATGGACCCTACAGGACAGCCACTTACATCGTTCAGATCTGAGAATTGTTCTTCACGGGCAACGGCCAATGGCCGCTGATCCTCACCTGTTCGAGGACCAAATCTGCGGTCCCATCTTTGCCTAAAGGAGATCATTTCCTGGCGGTCCAATACGGGGTTTTTCTCAAGCGCTCAGTTATATCATTTTAATTTTTAATCCTGGATTCTTTCGTTCTCTTGGTCTCTTGGTCTCTTATTCTCTATTCTCTTACTCCCCTTGTCGAATTCCATTTCATTGCGACCTGTGTATAGTACGTGTACAAGATCGTCGAAATCTCTAGTCCATGGACAAATCTTATACTCGGACTATCGAATCACTTCTGATCTTCGGGGTCCACAGGGTTTCTTTACAATTGCCATTCCCACTGGGCCTTTTTTCCCTTAAAACGACCTGGTTCCCCTGACCCAGATCTGCAACGCTCTGTTTCACTTCTATATTCTATATCCTGTCCTATATCCTCCCCTGGGCGTCTTCTACCTCGATTCTCCCGAGGTTCTTCTCTACCTCCACTATATCTACTATATCTCTCGGATACTCTGTCACTATGCGCGACACATCCAAATTCATCGAGATCCTCGATCCCAAGGAGCACTTCTCCGACTCCGACGTTCGGCTCGAGGATGTCCTCGCCGACCACGAAGCGATCAGCAGTCGCCCCCGCTTGACACAGTCCAAGCCAATGGACAAGGCCATCTCGCGGGACTCAACCTCCCCCACGCCGCGCTGGAAACGCCTGAGCAATATCCTGGCGCAACCCCGTCGCAACTCTTAAAAAAAACCATCCACTGCATGACTTTACGAATTGAAATGAGCGATGTGACCTGATCGTGTTTGGCCTGGGCCTGCTGGACAGGGATATGCCCCGCTTCAATGTTTGCTTTTTTTCTCATTTAGCCTGGGGTTTGGGAGTGAAGGGTTTTCCTCTGGGATATGTATAGAAATGAACCTGTTCATATTGGCGTAATTGTCTCGGACTATGCATCTCCCTGTACGGAGTACCTGTACGTGCAACCTTCAACATCGGCCTAGGTTTCGGAAATTGCGCCAGCGCATCGCCGTCTACTCCCTGTGGCCCTCGTCCCTGCGCCGGTCCATTCCGGACCTGGACTGGTTTGGGGTTACAAGCTACTGCAGGTCTCTAGGCCAAATGGAGGGACGGTCTGAAAGTGCCTCCATTTCAGGACGCAGGTTGAATTGGCCCGGTTGAGGATGCTGGTGCATACACCCCCTCCTTCATTTCCCGTTGCGCTAATGCCTGGGCTTCAGGGACACTGCAGCGCACGGAGATTTATGGAGTGCCTGGGTACATCTGCTGTGTATCTGCTATGTCTCGACTTCGTATCCCCGATTAACTCGACCGGGATTGCAACCCAGGTCTTGCACAATCTTCGTCTTCAACTGGACATCGTACAAGTATTTGACAATCCAGAGTGATACCACTACATGTCAATGGAAAGCAATGGGGCTATGATTCATGGATCTCCAGGTTCACACGTCAACGACCCGAATCACTCGTCTCCACAGCCATTGCAACGCTCCTGAGACGGATACCGAGTCCACTGCGCAGAACGGCAATGCAATGGTCGGAAAAAGCAAGGGTGCCGCCCTTGCAGACCCCTTTCTTCGGCATCTCCATCTCGGCACTCAACCTCAGATCTTCTACGATGCCTGTGTAAACTCCATACACGGACCAGTACGCAATTCCCAGCACGTCTTTGAAGATGATCTCCAGCTCAGCTGCAGACAAGGCAACATGGCGAATGATCCTCCTCTCCATATGGGTTTCCTTCGCGGTCTTCATCGCCTCCTTTGACCAAAGCTATGCGGGAGTCGTGCTGATCATGCCCTCCTTCCGTTCTGCTTTTGGCCATTGTCCTTCGCCAGACGAGTGTACTCTCTCGACCCTGCAGCAGTCGATGATTAGCATTACCCTTCTCTTCCAGGGGCTGGGAAGCGCCACGACAGGCTTGCTGGGATACTGGGTCGGTCGCAAGACGACTATCCAATTCGCATGTGTCCTGTGCTCGATCGGGGCGGCAGGAATGCTCGGCACATCGGGTAGCTTCCTCCACTACATGGTGTGCAAGTGTATCAGTGGGGTGGGGATTGGACAGCTCCTTGCTTCGAGTATGGTCTATGGGTCTGAATGTGTGGTCGCCAGCAAGCGGGGCCTGTTACTCGGCGTTTTCAATATTGGACTCGCCCTGGGGACTGTGTTAGCCGCCGCGGTCTGTGCCGGGTCCGCCACTCTGAAACCAGATGATGACTGGCAGTGGAAGACGCCGATCGCATGCCAGATCCCACTTGCGGTGATTCTTGGGCTGGGAACGATGATGTTCCCGGAATCGCCGAGGTGGCTGCTGTTGCGGAAGGAGAGGGAGCGGGCGCGCGACTCGTTCGCGGCTTTCAAATCGTTGGATCCGCAGTCATTGGAAGTGACGGCGCAATTGGATGATGTGCAGCGACACCTTGACCTGGAAGCCAGTCTGAGTGCGACGACATCTTGGGTGGAGATCTATCGAGGTCTTGATCTTCGTCGAACGGCCATCTCGGCCATGACCTTGGTGGGACTGTCGATTACGGGCGTGCAGTTCATCTCGCAGTACGCCGCTTTATTCCTTAGCGGAGTCGGTATCGACAATCCATACTTGATCAATGCCATTGTCGGCCTGTGCATCTTCGCCGGAGCACTGATCGGTCCCCATGCCCTCGAGTATGGTGGAAGACGCTTCTCCCTGTTGCTCGGGTATACGCTCATGGCAGCCTGTATGCTCATCTTGGCATCGGTGAGCACGGGGCTCGGCCCCAGCGATCCCACCGCAAAGAACGTGGTCGTTGTGTTCCTTTGTCTCTGGGCGTTTGCATTTGGTGGATTCGTGGGGTCCGGCGCCTGGTTGTCTTCGGCGGAAATGCACAGTGTGCGGCTTCGGACATACGGTCAAGCCAATACGACCTCTCTGTATGAGATTGGAAGCTTTGGCGCCGCGTTCTGGACGCCGTATATGCTCAATCCGGAATATGGTAACATGGGGGCCAATGTTGGCTACTTTTACTTCGGCGTCACGATTGCTGTTTTGGCCTTGACTTACCTATTCGTGCCTGAGACGGCTCGTTTGACCCTTGAGCAGATTGATGATCTATTCATACGGGGTGAGAGGGCTTGGAAGACATCTCTCAAGCAAAATGCGGCGATTGCAGCTGCTCCAGGGCTGGATCCAGGCATGGTTGAGCGGCAGCAGTGAGGTGTTTCACCGGTATTGTTCTGTATGCTATAGAATTCACTCGGGTATTTAGATATAGAATTAATAAATAGAAGACTAGACAGTTTCATCTCTTGAATTCCCGAACTAAACATCAAACATCAGTGGGAGACCGCCAACTGGCGAACCCCACCTCACGTCTACCCGCGTCCGACCGCGCTGCACGAAGCCGAGTCCAGGTCTCAGTTTCACACCCTCCTTCGCCGAACCTACCATGTCGTGGCTCCAATCAAACCAAGGTGCGGATCGCACCACGTCCCCAACCGTCTTCGAGCAGCAGCGCGAGGAGCTAGTGAGAGAAATTGCAGTGGTGGGTGACCTAATACAGGATCTCGAAAGAAAGCTAATGTCGACAGGGCATGGAGGAGGTCCTTCAGAACATGAACCGACTGAATCGGAATCTGGAAAGCGTGATTGCGGTAAGCATCGATGCTGGGAGAGTCGATTCCCTGCTAACTGGGCCAGGTGGGCAATGAGTTCGGGTCGGTGGAGGCTCTCTGGTCTCAATTCGAGAACTTCATGGGCCGCGAGGAGCAGACCCGGAAGGTCAGTGGGGAGGTCAAGACGGAGGAGACGCAGTGATTGGGATTGCGCTGTTATGAGATACCATGGCGTTTACCTCTGAGTTTCTACGTTTCTACGTTTCTACGTTTCTACGTTTCATCTACATTGCATTTCACAGTTCAAAAGTTATTCAGTAACACATACGCTTCGCCAACGGGACATATCAGACATAAACAGAACACCAGACCCATGCAAAAGCCAATGAGAAAACGGCGTCGACCCGAGGTCAAGCCAAATAATCAAAACGAGAAATAAAGGAAACAGCCTCCAGCAAGAAAGAGAAAATCGCAAATCATGGTAAGCGTCCAGCGTATCGATACATGAGTGTTTTGGTGGAGTCATGTCCAGCTTTGTTCATCTTGCGGCGACAATGTCACATACAAGGGCGCGCAGCAAGTAAGCCGACGAAGCAACCAGGCTGGTCCGGCCAAGTGAGAAAGGAAGGTCATCAGCGTAGAATCAATCTACAAAATCTTGCAAGTGCGCTTCTTGATCTTTTTGCCGGGACGCGGACCGGACGTAGCGGGGGTCTTGTTATTGCGACTGTTGCGATTGCCCCGGCCGGTCGTCGGTGGAGCCGAGTAGCCCTGTTCCTCGATGGAGATGACTTGATCCACGGCTTTTGAGAAGACTTCGTCCACGCCGCGCATCTCTTTGCTGCTGCACTCGGTGTAGGTAGCACCCATGCGCTGGGCCACGTTCTCGCCCTGCTCGGGAGTGATGGGTGTCAGGCCCTGGGTCTTCAGGAGTTCGATGCAGGTCCGTTTGGTGCGGAGGTCGGACTTGAGGCCCACGAGAACGATGGGCGTGGTGGGGCAGAAGTGGAGGACTTCGGGATACCACTGTGGACGGTTAGTGATGAGAGGGGGCACGGCGGTGGATGGCTTACTTTGTCGACCACATTCTCCAATGAGGCGGGGCAGTCGATAGCGAAGCAAACGAAGAGCAGATCAGTCTCGGGATACGACAGTGGGCGCAGACGGTCGTATTCTTCCTGTCCGGCGGTATCCCAGAGAGCTAATTCGACTGTCTTGCCGGTGGCTCGATGTGTGGTCTGGGTGATGTAGTTCTCGAACACGGTGGGGACATATTTCTAGGTCTGCTTAGCGGTGCCTCCTCGGTGGTTCTCCTTTGCGACTTACCTCTGGGAAATACCCCTGAGAATAACTGATCAACAGACAGGTCTTGCCACAGCCGCCATCGCCCACCACGACAAACTTTTTTGAAAAGGAGGGCGGCTGGGTGATATTCGTCGCTTCCGACATCCGTCCACTGGAAACGCTGGTATTGGTGCTGGCGGTACCGTGACTGATTCGCACGCTGTCACTGCGGGCTCGGTTGTGATGCGGTGTCAATGATGGGGGAGGGGTTGCGAGAGAGCGGCGGCGTGAAGCTGCATAGTGGTCGTCGTACATGGACATGGTGGAGTGCGGAATGTCGACCCCTTGATTAACTGTAGAAACGGTAACGGGCGCAACGGGCTCACAGAATGGATAGATCCAGAGAAGAAAAAGGAAGAAAAAGAGATAGATCGTGATCTTGAATGATCGTAGTGTCTCGTTGATCTCGACGTGTTTACCTCCCGCTGTCATAGCAACGGCGTCTACATGACGCCAGGGCTCCGCTTTTGGCACGATCCCAGCCTTGATATCCTGTCACGGTGGCCCTGATTGCGGCTATCCCGATCCTGTTTCTTTTCTTGGGGACGCTAGACTCCACTGTTCAGCTCTGATCGGACCCTCTTGTTGCCATGGAG